TGCTCATTTCCCAGACATATACTATGGCGCAATTATGTATGCTAAGTCAAATAAGTTGGTGGGAGAAAACTTGCAAATGTCGTCCTCTCACCAATCATCACACATTGTTATGATAGACAAGTATATCAAGAGAATGACATCAGCAGAACTAGGAGAACTCTCAGAAGATGTCAGACAAAAGCTGGCCAAGCTAGGGTACCCAGTACCACCATCCGGAAAGAGAAGAGCCAGACAAGCAGACTCGGAAGATGATGAGGAGGACGAACCACCCAGCAGGCGACCTCGCGCAAGATAATTGCTACCAGCTCCAAAAGGACAGGGAGAGTCGCTTGTCCAAGAACATAGATATAAGAGTAATGTTAATGACAACAAAATGCTTATTTTGATTTCATCTTATGCGAATGTTACGATACGACTACTTGTGAGAAAGGGCTTATTGTACCAATAAATCACACTTCTCGTCCTTTAACTTTTATCGACAATAGTAACATAGTAATCTATTTCTAATGAGTTACCAACCGACGTCCCCTACCTATGTAATATAATTGTGCTAATTATAACAATTTAAGTACCTCCTATTGTGAGTATAATAGGACATTACGTCCATTTCATTTTACTGACTGCAAGCAAACTGACATATAAGTCGAACAGAACTTAAAACATGCAACAATATCGACTAGTTACGTTCTGTTTGTGCTAAAATTATTGATATGACAAACGATTAAGTAAAATCGCGGGTTACTCACGTGAATATACTGAGAAAAGCTCTACTAGCCAGCCAGTGAGGAATGCCTCATGAGGAAGAACCCCTCTGGGGTTCGAAACTAGTAGAGCTTTTCTCAGTATATTCACGTGAGTAACCCGGGATTTTACTTAATTTAGTATGTTTTGCGATTGACAAACGATATCAAATTCTTTGTTCTTTTCAAAAAGGTTGTTTATGTTATTTGTGAAACGTAGAATTAATAATAAATTATTCCGAAAAGGGGATCCTGCAACACGTAGCGTAGCGCTAACCACCCTCATGTCAATAAATTTTAGATAAACAGAACATAATCGTCTCATTTCTATATATTTCACGACACCGAAGCTATTCCTCTCTATACATTAATACAACAACTAAACGCTATGTTACTGACCCCGCCATAAATTACTGCGCACTGATTATCTTCGCTAGGTGGCGTTACTGTCGCTAGCTAGACTTTTATATTGTCGATGTCAGTAATTTTTTTTTTTTAAATATAATGCAACCTTTTTGTTTAGCAACAAAAGAAATTAATCAATTTGTTACTAGCCTTGGCACATTACGTTACAATTAAGATTTCTTTGCATATATGTTTTAAACAAGTAAATAGAGATTTAAACAAAAAGTTCAAAAGTTTAATTTTAAACATAATATAATAATATTTAGTTTAGTTCAGTTGTATCGTGACCACTGACTAAAATAAATACAAAAAAAGAATTAAATTCTTTAAGCAACACTACTCATATCAAATACAAAATACTAAAAAAAATAAGACTAATATACAAACATCGACAACGGCACATTCCATCACTTCCATTTCAAAATGTAAACCTATATCAAAAACCATAATATTTTGAGTCTAAACCTAATTCTAGTCTAGATAAATCAGGTATACGTGTAATTTAGACATTTATTTTAGACATTACTTAGACATAGTTTCAGACATGTATTTTTTCTTAAACTACTTCTAGAATTTTGACTAAAGGATGAGCAAATATGTGCTATTTGAGATGAGAGCTGCAATTTGTAATTGAGCATATTTATTTAAGCATTTATTAATGGTTAAATCATTTTAGAGAGGGAATCGGATGTATTAGTTTATTTTGTCTAGTTATAAGGAAATTATACCAAAATCTATGTCAAAAATATACTAAAAATATCAATATTATTTTTAGTTTTAACCCCTCGAGCGTCCTTATGAGCACCCGGTGGATCATAGGAAAAAATGCTCCATGCTGCTTTCTCTTTTATAAAATCTATTATTCATGTTTTGTTTTTATTTTAACTGTATTTGTTTCATTTCTATTGTAATGGTCCTTGTTTTCGTGTGCCAATGGCCAAATAAATGCATTTTCTTGCATGCATAAGGATAAGGAAATGCATAAGGAACGCGGACGCTCGACGGGTTAATATTGTTGTACTTGTAACGAATATTTAACCTTATTCTTTAAGTGAGAAAGTTCAAAATCTGCTAAAGAAATATAACAGACTGTTCAAGAAGATATTCCTTAAGGAAACTCTTAAGAAAGTAGCTTCAATGTAAAAAGAAATAATCCGATCCCCAATTACATCAGACAGGTAACCTCTTAGCTCGCCTCCCACGCCTCTCGCGGGGTTTGTCATATTTCTAAACTTGACAACTCTCATCTGTCACAGACACATGTAAATACAATTTCATATTCAAAGTATTCGACTTTCAAAGATATTCTTTGAATATAAAAAATTATACAGGCGTGAAAACGATAGTTCTTGTTCCAATATTTTACGTACATCCAAGAGAATTGCAAATGTTCATGGTACCCAGAGACGTAATTAGGTTGGTATAATGGGCCCCGAATTACATGGACCTCGAACTCATGTGGGCCCCCGACTCAAGTGGGTCGCAATAACAAAATTACATCATTAAATATTTAATTTCATTATTTTTATCGTTTACTTCTTAGAAGTCTATTTTCAAAATAATTTTGTATAAGCCTTGTGTTTGTTAAAATGTTGAATCAAACAGCTTGATACTAGTACTATCATTTCCACTCCTGCATAAAGTACCGACCATCCTAAATATAATTTAATAAGTGATACGAGAAACATGCAAGTGCTTGATATGTGCGATTAATTTACTAAAATTGTGATTTATATTGCTGACTGTACCTTACGCTACAAACTGAGATTTCGCGCCCGAAGACGTCGACAGTCTTATTTCAAACGAAAATACAAACTCCCTTGTTTGACTAAGGAGTCTTAGAAAGAAAAACTATATTAAAAATATATTTAAAACAAGATATAAAATTAACTATAGGCTCTGATAAAAGATATAAAATAAGATTACGTCATTTCTCATTAAAATAAGGCTTCAAAAGATACCACCAATTAACCTCATTTAAGTGGCTTAACGAATTCAAACCCTCTTTAAGGAGCTTAATAGTATAAGTATTGCCCTACACCGCGCCTAACAAACAAGAATACAAGACAGCATAATAGAGCCTACAGTAACTCAAAAAATTAACAAAAGTTTATATTATTTACCCCAAAAACACATAAAAAGTCGTTTTTCAATGACAATATGAGCTCAACGACATCACAATTTTAAAATAAATATAAATTAGATTCCCATGAACGACGAAACATAAAACTTTAATTACATGTAGCTAGCATACATATTGACAAGACTCATAATTATAAAAACGTCCACAATTTTGATTTTTATGTCTTCACAAACAAGGTTTAATTTTCGTTTTATCATATCGTGGGAATCTTAGATACGTATACAAGTTATCCAGCACAGGTCTTGCAGTTTCCTTTATTAGAAAGATTAAATTTTTTCACGTAATTTCTCTCGTCTATCGTAGGATGTTCTACTATCCACTTCTATTCTTTTGACTGTAAGACGTGTGCGGACAATTTTATACTTTAGGAGACGGCACAAAGTCTAATATTAACTTTTTAACTTATTTTAACAGTGAATTAAAAGTTCTCCCGTGCTATAAAATATTTCAATTTTATTTAAAACCGATCTGTAGTTACATCCGCAATAATATTGTCTCTTTTATCATTCGGTTTATTTCCCAAAATGAAATGCCTTCAGACTGCCTAAGTAATATTGATTATGCAGTAAAATGAATTATTCCATTACCTTAAAAGGAAATTCGAACAAAATGGACATATATTTTATGACCAAACCATCTTATCCTCTCGTCTGCCAGTATCAAAGATACTCGATAGAAAATAGTTACAATATCTTACTTTCATGTACTAGAGGGGTTATAGAGGTAATTTAAGTATTTGTGCCATCTCCTAAATCATAAAGATGAAAGCGAGATATGATCACTTCATTTTCATACATTCATACAAAGCGTTTAATAAGAAAAAATAATTATATAAACTAACAATTCGACTACATTTTATTATAATTATTATTCGTTTAGCACTCGACATTAAATTCGTTCCCGCTGCGCACTGAATTGACCTTTTCATTTGATTCTAAGGTCAAATATTGCTTTAGTACTTTTTGTATTGTTTGGCCTTTTTTTAAACATTCCGAGACCATACAAGACACGCGTGTTACAAAAATGCCTCGATTTTCTTAATTATTTTTAACATAAAATAAATACTATAAAAATCACTTAGAATTACTCCAAGATATTTTAACCTTTTTATTCGAAGGAATACATTTGATTAAAAAATAACTCATAAAAATTAACGTTTTGTAGTTGACTAGTAGTCAATTACCGTACTCTTCCCGAGGCCTACCTTACTGCCTAACCGCTGAATCCAACCCCTCACACATCTTAGACCTTCTTCATTTAGCACCAACTTACTACATACAAACACACATAACTATTGGGTTTAATATTAGATATCGACTAGTGGTGGTGAGGTTACGCGACAAGCTGACTTTCATACAAGAAACCTGAAAAGAAATGATTGTCTAATCGATTAAACACAGATGATACGATTACTAAGTTCGTGTATGAAAATCAGGAAGGTCGCTTGAACCTTTGATGTGAGATCAAGAGTATGTTAGTAAAGTGCCGCTATGCTAACTGTTACATTATCTAGATAGAACATTGGCACATAGTTACGTTAATACCATACCTTCTATAGGGCACTAATCCAACTAATCGTAGAGCAGATACTTGGAAGAGGCCGAACCTCTCATGTCCGTTTAACGTTAACATTTAATTTATTAATTTTGATAATTTTCGTCCTTACTCGTTACCTATCTAAACAATCAATTTAGAATTCATTTTTAATTGTAATAAATAACATTGAAAATATAGATTACGCATACAAATTCAATGAACATCAATTAGGCCTGTATAACTAACGTAGAATATAATTTAGACAGACACAGTTACGAAACTGCTATAAAATACAATTTAAACGGTAAACTTAACATTGAAAGCGAACTTTGTAACAGAAAGCGTCCCACACGACGAGACTTTTTGTTTTAAGTTTCATAATCATATTTTCCGTTGAAAGTAATGAAAAACTTCAACGATTTTATTACTCCTAAAGGTTTCACTAAAATTTTTAAGGTTCAACCCAAGATTGTAATGTCTCTTGCGATTTGTTAGACATGAGAGGTGGGGTATCAGTTCAGCGGGGCGGGGAGGCTGCGGCCAGTCGCTGGCGGAGTCTTGCGAACTTGCCGTGCACCAGCCGCAGCTGCGTGCGGAGCCTCGAGGACAGTTCCCTTTGCAAGGCCTGCACCTCCACCAGCTCGCGCCGCAACTGCTGGTAGTCCGAGCGCACCTGTGTGTGGAGCCTAGTGTTACACCTGCCTGCCATGTGTAGGTCAGCTCCGGCTAACGCAAGCCAAGCGTCATTAAGGAGGATTGTATTTAACTTGAAGACATCTTTTTTAATAGTGTCAGTTGTGTTAAATTTTTTAATTTGTTTTATATTGTTAGTCGGAGTTGACTTACTATTTCAATATTATTGACACAGATAAAATATACTAATTAAACATCGATTTCATAATAGAAAATAAATCAAAATAGTACTACATTTTTTTAGATGTGTAATACGTTATGAGAATAAACAATTCCAGTCCATAATAAGTTATTGAATCTGTGTCAATACAACGTACAAGATGAAAAGAGAACAACTAATGACATGAATATGGTGGCCCATATCTTGAAGTATCCGATGACTGCGTGAACAAGAAGTAACGAACAGTAGGTAAGAGGAGAGAAAATAAACATAATATAGAGAACGGAAGCGGGACAGTTGACAGAACATATAGTACATGAATATCATCTACCTATATTGTAACAAATATGAGGCGGTGCGTTGCGGTGAAGAGGGTCCATCACACAATACCGACTAACTTTACTTTTGAAGGGACTATTCAAGACAGTTTAGCTCAACAAAATCAGTTAGTTAATATTTATTGATAATAATATTACGGGGCCCCGCCTTGTAGGGGCCCAAAACTCAAAAGGGCTGCAAATTAAAACTTTAACAAGGCAAAAATGGGTAACTGGCCTATTCACAGTAACGCACCGCCTAAACTAATCAGACGCATATCGAACTCGCGACACTCAAGTCCCGCAACGCATAGTTCAAGCCGTAAAGCGGCCCCGACTTCTGAGGCTTTGGGCCAGGCTTCGACTTCGTACCACAGCCAAGCCCGGACAGCTATATATCGATAAGCATGACCTTCTGGCTTGTCGGTTTTCGGAATTACATTTACTTTTTTAAATATTGTTGCACTGAGGGAAATGGGGATAAATGGAATTTTTACTTTGTTTTCTGCCCCCATGGATCTACCAACTCCAGATCTTGAGAACTGATATTCCGCATATAAGATTAAGACTTTTGTTTCTATCAAATCGTCCGGTGACATTATTCACATTACTTTAAACTTATTACAGTTTGGTTATAGCTATAAAAGATTAATTTTATTGCACTTCCACGATTTATTATTAACTAAATATATCCTCTTGATCAATAGCATTAAAATCTATATTCGGATGTCACAAACTGCGTCTCAGTGCAACAAAGTATCTAAATATTTCAATTAATCTTTAATTAATTGACTATCAATCAATAATATAGATAATAGAAAAACAACAAGCCATAAGCAACATGACTGTATAATCCAGTAATCTGACCTGTCACGACACTAACGCATTGGCTGAAAAATAAATATTATATTTATACATACGATACATTATCTTCTACAATATATGTTGGACCGGCCGCTGCAGTTTGTGGGCGTATACATAGATAATACATTTTAATATACGTACATACATTTGTGAAATGCAGGGAAGGAACATTTATTTATTTCATTAAGACAAGAACGACTGAAACATACCTAAGGAGGTACGACGACGACTTAAAAAAATTGTGGAAACCTGAATGAAATTTTCATCCACCTCAGCTAACTCTAGTGGGAAATAACAAATGTTATTTTAGAACAAATTTTGCCACTATACAACACACTTTGCAAGCAATAAACAAGACGCTCAACCCGGATTTAAGGCGGGCTTATTATCCTACAGAAGCTTAGTCTCAGTGTGACCTAATTCACTGAGGCTTATGTCTACAGGTGAAAATTCCACCGTAGCCACGTAATTTACCACGTACGGAAACACAGCACAACCAACCCTATTCCGTAGCAAGTAAAGATCAAAATCCAGAAAAGGTTTGGCCCCTCAATTTTGGGCTCAAGTCATGCAATTCCACTGTTTATGTTATAAGCAATGTCGCGTAAATTCTATTATGAAATGGGCGGGAACATTGAGAGGAACCATAACTTAGGATTAGGGTCACGTGTCACAAAATTATATTGGGCTATTCGTAAAATAACGTAGGTAACGTGTAAATGGCGTATCTAATCAAGATTAAATTATTATGTTTTCGGCTTACTCACGTAATAATTTGACGAGGAACTCGACTAGTTTCAAGCCATGCTAGAGGCTCATATTCATGAGCAGCATTTCGCGAAAGTACAGGAATATTTGTATTCATGTATCAAGATTTTAAAGATTTCATATCTTATTTAGAAGCACTTATCAAAAATTGTCAAGACAGTACTTTTCTAACTTATCATACGATCATCATCAGTTCACTTCACTGCATATGTGCAATGATGTATTAGTTAGTAAATAAACAATGTTCTTTTCCTGCATCTCTTAAATAGCCTACTGCGTTAATAATAATTATTTGTAGTATCTTAATTAGACAAAGCATCTTAGACTTAAAACATGCGTAAATATCGGTGTGGTCACACTATCAGTAGTAATGACTAACCTTCGTTAGTTACGAGACGGCATAGGAATTTGGATGAGTCACACACACATAAGGGAATATTTAAAGCATTGGAGATATAGTATTCACGACGTTCTAGAATTAGTTTTATAGGTATTTGTTAATTTTCCTAGGAATCAAGTAAAATATAATTAAATGTCAAGGTAAATTCCATGACTCTCTTATTATAAATAAAATTAATATTTTCCCTGTGTAATACTAATAAATAATATAATACATAAACAGATGTCTTTATGAATTATAGATTCCTTTCTAATAATTATTGTGTATTATTATTTCTCTCAAAGAGTACACTAATATATAGATAGTTACTCATGAAAACACCGCCAACACTTTTTTACTCCAACAGTGTTTTTTGTGTTAAAATAATATTTACACGAGACAAGACACTTAACGTAGAATATTCTTACAGAATAAATTATGTAAATGCTTAATTATTTACTGGCAACACGCCGTACTTGACTTGTTAGAGTAAACTTGCAAATTATGCTAATACTGCTTGCAAGAAGCGCGCAAATTAAATCAAGTGCTTCTGTTCTAGATTTTCCACTGAATTTACGAGTACGGCTACATTAATAATATAATGTTTTTATTAAAAAATGTGCTATAGCAAGGGAGGGGATTAAGGTGTAAGAAAAATAGGCAGTATGAGTTAAATATGTATGTAGCTTTCTTATAAAGCCTATACTGTATGTCTGATGGACATTTTTCAGAATATTTTTTATGGAAATGTATGTTTTTATACCCACTTTCCCCATATTGAACTAAAAAAATTTTTGCCCACAGATAACATAAGACCTCTTCACTATTCCTAGTCTATTATTTTTTTTTATTGTAAAATATAGGATTACACTATTCATTCTACAGAGATACTTAAAAAGTTCCGATCTCACCTCGGAGACGGACTTCAGCAGGTGCATGATACACATGTCCTGTGTATTGATGGGCTCCACCAGCTCCTTCTCGACATTGTCCATCTTCCACTCCATCAGGTCTAGCTGTTCATCTGTCCGCTTCACCTGTCATACATGCATTTATTTGTGTTTTGAACCAGTAAAGGTAACTTAATACATTGATATATTGTATCGAAAATTTGTTCATACAAAAGTAGTCTGTAAATATTAGAAATAAGGTTTAAAATGGAGTTAGTGGAGAGTGGTCTCTGGTGAGTTTTTGGGGACTGAACAGTTAAAGCTTGATATTTCTTTTAATTGTTTCTAGGTTTATTTGAAGTGGTATTACTTACTATTGTTAAGTTGTATTGTAATCTTTTATAATAAATTCTAATTGGAAACTATGTAGGTAATAAACAGAAAGTTTAATACATTCGGTAATTTTCAACATATGAAGGTTTTTTAAAGGGACAAGCTTGCCACAACCTCCCAAAACTGCTGCAACCCCTATAAGCCAGGATCCAGTAAATACAACCATGAAAACACCGGAATACTGTAGTCCGGCGCGTCCCAGGGACATGAATAACTGTCTTGGATCCCGCAACATAATAAATCAGAAGATATTATAAGAGTTTGGACATAAGTAGGTTGCTCAATTTGCTTATATTCTTCTTAGTTATCTAATATTATACATCTGTGTACATAGAGATGTGCTAACATTGTACATATCTGGCTGGCTCTAATACCAATATGGCATGCAACAGACCATAAAACCATTTAAAAAACAAACCGAATGCTAACCAGCTTCCAAATATAGAAGCAATATAAATTAATCAAATAGGATAGTAGTACAAACTAAACTGAAATACATTGTTTAAATCAATACCCAAGTAATTTTAGACTTAAAATTAATAGATGAAAGCTTAAATTAGAATAGTATTTTTTAAATATAGAAGTATGTACTGCTGTATTGATGTTTTTTAAGCAGGAATTATGATATGACATCAATAGATACAACACAAAGTTTCTAAAACAATAACAAGGCTGAATGTCTGATTGCCTCACACCTGCGTGATGTGATAACAAAAGAAAATACAATAACTACTCATGCAGTACACTATTGCACTAATACATCCATTCCAAGATATAAAATAATATAAATTTTCTGACTGAACTTAAATGGTGAAAGTAATTAGACGAACTATACAGTAATGTCCCACTTTAAAATACACATCGGTTAAGACTTGTGCACACAGAATTATGTAAATATTTGATTAATTCCAATGAGGATGTGTAAACAAAATGTTTACAGTGAAATTGACAGGAAATAAAGAAACACGAATTATTCCGTGGGTTTTTAACTACATTAGAGAAGAAGGTAGAAACTTTATTCAGCCTTCCTGCTGTGTATCCCAACAATTTAGTATTTATAGGGAAGTTGCGGCTCTGTGACCTACATTTCCTTCACGATTAACAGTACTCTATTAGCTAATTAATTGCACTAAATAAAAGTGCTGACTCACCGTTTCCTCCAGTTCTTCCACCGAAATTTCCTTATCAGTCATGTTTGAGACACACCTATTAATTTTTTAGTCAATATCTAAAAGAAAACAACAGAGTTGAGCAAACCGACCATTTTTCTTCCGTAAAATTAAAATGACAGACTTGACATTTTGTCGGATGAAAATGTCAAGTGTGAAGCAACAAAACGTTTCCAAAACACCGACATTTTGATTTGCATGTTACTGAACGTCATGCGAAGTAACAAAACGGAATTTTACGCGGGAATGTTGAAAATTTTTGCCAATCAACTGTTGTTAGTTGTATTTATTGTTAACTAGCTTCTGCCCGCGACTTCGTACGCGCAATCCCATTTTCCCCCGGTTCCCGTTCGTGATTTTCGGTAAAAAGTAAAAAAAAAGTATTCTATAAAAAGTATCCTATGTCCGTCTCCTGGTTCTAAGCTACCTCCCTACCAATTTTCAGCCAAATCTATTCTGCCATTCTTGAGTTATAAGTGGTGTAACTAACACGACTTTCTTTTATACACCTAGGTACATAGATTTTACCAGCAGTGGGTTTTTAAATATTCTCAGTAGTAGCACGGAGTCTGGAATCGTGCCCGGTATATGGCAATAGGCTCACGCCCTATTACATGGGACTCATAACATAAATAGTGAAAAGTGGGTGTTACATTGTACAGTGGTATATAATGTGCACCTCTGCCTACCCCTTCGGGGATAAAAAAGCGTGATGTTTACTAGCAGTTTCGATGTAAGTACACACTAAGATATCAAATAATAATTAATAATAATTTTTACTTTTCAATACAAGAAGGTAGGTGGTTTCACTAAAAGTATGTCGAAGGCTTTATATTAATCGTCCTGTAGTAGATACTAATTTTTTAAACGCATCTGAAGTGCTGTGGTATTTTCATTGTAATAAGGGAGTCATTTATTTATAATCACAACAGTATATAGATAGTTGAGTTTAATATAGATGAGTTTACAACTTACTATATTTCTTACCAAAGAGTATAATAGATGTAGGGAAATTTGTTACGATGAACCGTTCCCGAAAGATTTGTATCTTTCATAAATACCTATTATCATTTGAAAAACCCGATCACTTGATCAAAATGGAGTAGCTATAGATATTTACCATTCAAAAGTACATGTGGATGTGGGCAAGGCAAGCTGTATGTTAACGGGTAAATCTAGGTAAAAGGAGTAACAAAATAAAACAAACCAATTAATTTATATACACATTTTGTCTTTAATTTTTACACATTAAGAAATGTAGACGAGATTTAGTGACACTATGAACCATTTTGGTCATAAGACGTCCCGATATTACCCTTTATACAAACCTATGGTTGCATTAGCAACTACATTTTAAATTCATGTGTCGTAATAATATCGACTTAATTATACTAGACTAAGGAAGTATTGAAATCGAGAACCTTCCATCCTTTGCCTCATCAAGTCTTTATAGCCCTACCTAAGTGTCAATTTCAATACTAACTCAGCATTTCTAAGGTATATAAACACTTAGAACATTTAGTTTGACACTTCTAATTATTGGAACATTATCATTAAAAGCCATACAAATTAATTGAGAACAAAATAACAGCTAGGTACAGATATCTTGAGTAATTTGATTTTTTGAAACATATATTTAATACTCAAAATTCAGTTCGAAACAATGTAGAGGTTGCATGAGACTATGACACTAGACTTGTAGAGAATAAGCCAAGGCCATTCTGGCAAGGCACGTCTTGCGTCTGCGATGAGCGGGAAAAAGTCCGCCGCTAGTCGAGCCAACATGGCGGCCCCGCCAGTGTGGCCTGCGACTAAGACTAATCGTTTATTACAGTGAGAATCAAAACGGATCAGAATAAATTTATTTACTATGAGGAATGTAACTATAGTGTACATACCAACCTCTATATTCCACCGAAATGAACTATGTACATTACAGACTAGCAATTCGATTATAATTTAAAATCACCATAAGAAACATCTGCCTACAATGAAAACACATATTTTTTTCCGCGTCTACGTAAAGACGCATTATTTTTATATTTTGATAGACTGGTGGGAACATAGAATACATATTGCACGTGCATTCGATACAAATATAGTATGCTAACATCCGATAAACATACAATAATTAGTATTTTATAATAAGATTATGAATATGATACATCCTCGAATTGTCTGCGACATTCACATAGAAGAAATAAGTAATAGAATCTAACATTGAATAATTAAATAAAACACTAGAAATATTTGTACAAAAAATTAAAATTCCATTTAATTCGTATACAGAATATACCGAGATATTGACTTGGTCATGTTATTGAAATTAAAAAAAATATGAAGCGCTCAATCGGCTTGAGGTTCACGGTCATAATAATGTATGAGTAAAAATACGTAAAGTACTTAAAGTAAATCTTATGCACTCGTGCATGTAGATCATTCTCACTATACTTGTGTTGTGACGTCACCACGTACGCCGTGCGCGTGCGCAACACAATCTGTTTCTTATAGACATTAAGATCGAATTTGATCTTAATGCCACTCGGCATTAAGATCAAATGTTTAAGTAAATATTCGAATTTGCCACATAAACATTTATAGGGGGCAAGAACAAAAAAGCAATAAGTTAGCTTAGCCATAATGTTTACTAGGAACTCATTGCAAGCAGTGTGTCGCGCGTGACGTACGTGTGACGTCACCAGCACGCCTACACAATGGCGCCGTCTCTAGACCAGCGCGTCCCCGGCGTGCCCAGACCTGTCTCTAATATCTGACGGACTGTGTGCCATACTACCCTCGCTCCACTAACAATTGACTTACGATATGTAATACTTCAACGTAACAATATTCTGAGGAGCTTCGTGATATGGGACCTTATTGTCATCATTAAATCAGCTTAAAATAGGATCATTAAATAAATAGTTTTGGTGTATCTTAGGCCTCTCATTACGAATGAAATCGTCTCGCGACAGCTCGTGTAAAATATGTTTAGGCCGTCCTTACTCGCTAAGTAATACGTATGATGACACACAGTCCTCGGGCGAGGGTCGCGGCAGGCGGGGAGGGAATTAATCAGTCGGAGTCCGCGGCCGGGGCCGGACGGGAGTAAATAAAACAAAGAGAGTCACAGGGGGGAGTTCAGTTGAGGGGGTCGGTGTGATCGAAGTTGTGTTCGCTGACGGAGACCGCGTCGGAGGCGAGCGCTTCCTTGAGCGGGTCGACGCAGTTCTTGGGGATGAGCGTGCCGACGAGCTTGAGGCCGTCGCTGGCCTTGAGGCGCACGACCTGCATCTTGTTGAGGTGCGCGCGCGCCGCGAGCACCCCCTCCACGCGCGCCCACACGGCCAGCACCGAGCCCGACAGCACGTGGTGCGTGCGCACGCGCAGGCCCACCTGCAGCGATAAACACAACCATGTCTCTCATACTGCACCAACACTCAGTTAATCAGACTACTGAGATTCGAACTCTACTATTACTGAAGGTCTCCATCCTCAGTCATGTAAATTTTCTACATGTAAAGTTGAGAAATCTTAACTTCAAAACCACTAGTATTTCACAAGCCTAGCAGACGTGCTAAAGTACGAGTGGTCATGTAAAAACCCTGTAAAATGAATGTACGTACCTCGCAGTCGGCTCCGTTCCTACAGAGCGACCTCCAGTAGGCGTGCGAGCAGACTCGCTGCGACGCGGTGTACTGCGCGCGCCACCACGACTCCGCCTCACTGCTCTCCACGCGACGGTACTTCTTCTCTATCTCCGCCAGGGACTCCAGCTTCAGTTGGAGACCCGTGTTAGGCCTGTAAGTACGAACAATTAAATTATTTACTGTCTTATTTAAAACAAGAAATAAATAGCTACTTTTTAACATCTTTCGCTTCAAAACTGACCTATAGATTTGGAACATAATATCCTTCTTGGTAAGCTTCTCCTTCTTGACGGAGGTGACGGCGGCCACGCACAGTATGGCGGTGTACTTGTTGTTCCGCGCTTGTTGAGACACGTAGAACCCTTCCTTGGCACCCGAGAGCTCGGACCATTTCTCTAGTGCCTCTGCCCAATCCATGCCGCGCTGTGTAAGAAATTAGAAATTTAGTTTTTGTATTTTATGAAATAAAAACGAACTAATAAATTAATAATTACAGTGTTAAGTTTCAGTAATAGAATTGGTTTTTTCAGTAATGTTAGTCAAAGTCAAAGTCAAAATCATTGATTTCAATTAGACTACTTTAAAACGTCAATAAAAAATTAAAAGTGAAGCTATTTGTTCATTCCAAGGTGTAGATTCCTATGGAGAAGATCGAGCAAGAAACTCCATAGGTTACTCTGTTACGTAAGAATCGTAGAGGTAGAGTGCAAAATGAATCTTAGGTAAGTGATGGCCGTTTTCACAAATCATTCCTAAAGTGTCATTTAATTAAAAGTTATTTAGCACGAGAAAGCGCCTAAACTAACCCCTTATCTGTACTGGTAGATGTCACATACAGTTGGTGTAAACGAAAAAGATGTTAAGTATCATCTATCTAAGTTTAGGATTTACTTTACATTTAGGAAAGGTTGGTGAAAATGGGCCTGAGGGTTGTAGAAAGTGGTGTGGTGTTCCGTAGTGGGAGTAGTAGAGCACAAGTGTCCCCCTGGCGTTACCTCTGAGTGCAGCGTGTGCAGCTCGACGGGCGCGCGGCCGGTGGCGTGGCGCCGCAGGTAGCGCAGGCAGCGCACGCGGCGGACGCGCTCGCCGCAACTGCCCAGGTCCAGGATGCCCAGGTCAAATCTGCCACTGCGCTTCGCTAAACAAGGAGATAAAAACAATGTCAATACTAAGCCATTTATTTCTGTCTAATTATTACTCTAAAGCAAACCCTTTCGTTTATATCCGTAAGGATTGAGGAGCCACATCAGATTTATAAAATCTGATCTCGCCATTATTTAGCAGCAGTTTAGCTTATTTTGCAGCACGAATTCTAGATTTAGCAGCAAAATATATCACTAGTTATTTTAATGCAAACATGGTTCCTCAATCTAAACGTTTGAATTGAGGAGCCACCTAGAACTCCTCAATCCTTACAAACATTTCCGTTTAATGTCCATATTATAAGAATAGCATCAAAAATAACAACAACTCCATCTTAGAAGATCCCCATGTTGAATTTAGAATCGCATCGTATGCATTGTCATCGAAACTAAATGAGTATAATACAATTTAAGACAAATCGGTTGAAGATATCTTCTTAGAAACAAATTTTCTAGATTCCATACCATCACAAAAATATACAAAAGCTTGTAAAATATACCTTGCTCCATGACTGCAGCTAGAGTATCTGTGAAGTATTTGAACAGCCTGTTCTGTAGATCTACCGGCATGCCCAGTATCCTGTTCAGGAACTTAGACATGTTGTTGTAATCCTGTAACAAATGAATATTATTGTCACTAACATACAAATAGAGTTATTACTGTTGTCTTATTGATATTTCTTCATCATGATAGTCATCTTCATCAGCTGGAAGACGTCCATTGCGATTCTCTCTACTATTCCCAAGCTGCCTGTCTAGTATGGGTCTTATGATACAAACGCTCTTTTCCCTTCATAATTAGTTACTAGGATTAATTACACACATTTGTAAAAAGATAATGACTAAATTGTATGAACAGAAGATTATAGAGAGCGGAAAACTGTTTACGTAAGTGATGTATGATAAAAAGATCTACCGAGATCTAAGACGTACCTTATCAAGTTGCAGTACCCCAGGCGCGGCCTCGCTGTTGACAATGAGTCCGACGCCGACCAGCGCGGCGGCGGCGTCCTGGAAGAAGTCCGCCGCGTAGTCCGCCGGCGGCGCCACCAGGGGGCGCTCGTACTTCATTATGGCGCGCATCACTGCCTCCAGCGCCGCGCGACCTACGGACATACAAGTATGGTTAATATTACGTTATACATCTAAAATAGCGGTAGTGAGGTTGCAAGGCTTCGCATGGAGCTGTAAATTGGTTGATATTTCGATTTAATTCATTATGCATTGAATTAGAATTTTACTTTGATGTTAAACAAAGCGCAACTATCATCTTTCATATCTTTGCATGCCAAGTGAAGGCAAAATATGGAGAAACTGTAAACTTTGTTAACACCTATATATTATGTACCCATGTTTGCAAATGATTAAATGAATATGAATATGAATAAATCTCGACATTTTTTTAAATGATTTTACCAATTTAATCTGAATGCAACTTAACTCACCATATTTATTATCAATATTGAACTGGCTGAGATCCCTAGTCTCAGTTGCTCTGCGGTCCCCGTGGGTGAGAGCCCCGAGAGACTCGAGTCTCTTGGCGACAGTAGACGCGAACCGGCGCTCTCCGGCCAGGTCTGAGATCAGGAATATGTACTCCGGCGCGTTCACCTGGTTCGATCGGTGAGTACGACCTGTGGGGGGAAAGGTAAATTTAGAATATCATGTTGGCTGATTTATATTATTTGTAATTCATAATGTTTTAAGTAGCCGCGTAAGACATGCGTTTTCTTGATCAATTGGTAGTCTTTGTAATAACCCAAGTTATTTATCGTTGAGGAAACATTATCTGAATTTTACTGAGAATACACACTAAATATTTTATTCTGAATAGTATAATGACTTTTCTGATTTTGTTTTAGAATGCGATGTAGGATGGTGATGGAATATAAAGAAAATATATATAGTAATTGAAAATAGTACTCACCAAACTGTTGTATAGCCCGGTCGGCTGACCACGGCAGCTCTAATGTGATGTGTACCCTCCGCCTTTGATTTCGCGCTCTGATAACAAATATATAAATCAAATGTTAATTATTTACATGTACAGTAATTATAACCACAATGGAAGCTCATTCAACCTGGAATGTTGAGACATTCATCTATTGTTTTTCTGTTATTTTTTAATATATTTGGCAAATAAACAAATTTTTTTCTTTCTACGTTTCTAAACATAACATAACATCACGCCTTTTATCCCCGAAGGGTTAGGCAGAGGTGCACATTATGGCACTTAATGCCACTGTTCAATGTAACACCCACTTTTCACTATTTATGTTATGAGTCCCATGTAATAGGGGGTGAGCCTATTGCCATATACCGGGCACATTTCCAGACTCCATGCTACTACAGAGATTTTTAAAAACCCAGTAATAATTTGCCCGACCCGGGAATCGAACCCGAATCGAAACTACGTTTCTAGAATGCTGCACAAAACTTTTTTAAACAACATTTGAGCTTATTTTGACATCAAGTCACCACACCTTTATGAAGAATTTGTATACTGACCTCCGATCACTCTGCAGCGAGATACCACTGGAAGCAGCCTCAGAGATTATAGCGACGTCTTTCTGTCCGTCCATGAAGCGTTGCTTCTCCGTGAGGTTGAGAGTTTCCAGGGGCACGTCTGCCTCCGAGCGACTCTCGTACAGGATCTGGCCCTCCTCCGTCTGTACTACGCGACCTTTGCGGCCTGTCATCTGTAGGTAAAATTGTAAAATTAGTCTATAGAAGTGGTTTATGGGTATTTTGGGTTAGATACATTATTTAGGCCAGTATATGGATGGAAGAGTTTGATAAAGTTATTGTGATAGTATGCATATACTTTAAGGTAAAGTCCCGGCCGCACTAGGGCGAAACTGCGACGGTACTTAACCGCGCAATATTAAATTAGTTGCGGGACAAAACCGTAAGTGCTTGTTTTGCATTTTACAAAACTATGCAATAAAAAAACCGTCGCGGTTCTATTATTCTATTTTGTAATAAGAGGTTTTCTTGCTCGTTTATTTATATAGCATATCTAGTAGATATACTATATATAGCATATCTAGTAGATATGCTATATATAGTAGATATTATCTGCAGTTCGAAACGATAGTTTCAAAAAAAGACCAATTAACAAAAGGGAAATATTTTGTTTAACTTTTGAAATCCAATAAGGAATCTATTATGAACTAGGGTATTATGTTAGAGCATGCTACATACCTCAGCGACATTCTCAGTGCCTCCCAGTTCGTCCACGAGTTGGTCGAGCGTGTTGGGAGGCAGTCGTCGCCCGAGTCGTTCGATGGCGGCCAAGAGTTCCTCCTTCATACTGCACGCGCGCTCTATTGCGGACCTAGGGGGCGCTGCACTGCGGGATGGACCTACAAACAAATATATTGGCATATTAAATAATATACAAACTGATGCCTTTGTCCCATAAGAGAAATTGATTTATCATTCACAGACGGACAGAATGACTGACCATTCCATTTTAAGACTTTTCAAAAGTAGACTGGACTTTGACTTTATATTTACCATATGTATCGTGTAAAAAAATGAATGCAAAACATCGTATGCGCTGGTCGAGGCTATGAAACAGCAACTCCATTCGGATTACAATTTTGTAAAATAAAAACATGAATGTACAATTGTATTGACTATTTGTAGAAGCAATCTATCGAATGCCACCCCCCGAAAAGACCTATATAACCTCTGATATCTATATATATATATATAAAAGAAAGTCGTGCTAGTTACACTATTTATAACTCAAGAAAGGCTAAATCGATTTGAAAGAAAATTGGTGGGGAGGTAGCTTAGAACCAGGAGACGGACATAGGATACTTTTCACCCAATTTTTTTTTAGTTTTTACCGAAAATCAAGAACGGGAACGGGAAATATCGGGATTGCGCGTACGAAGTCGCGCGCAGAATCTATACTCCGTCTGTTTAGGTAGTTAACTATTTGTAAACAAATCATAAAAAGAGTTCTTTATAGTTGACATTTCCATGATTCAAAATACTTCATAAGAAAATAAAATTGTTTCCCTTTTTACGACAGTTTTCTCTATTAAATGTTATGTTTCTGTTCCTTTTCACTTATTTCTTAATTAATATTAAATATATCTGCTTGAGGATATTAATTTAATAACATTTATTAAATAATATAATATTTCATTACAATAGACACCATAAAGAGCCTAAAATCCCAGGTATCCAAAACGTTTCTTTAAGAACGAAGCAAAATAATGTTGTCAAATTAAAGAGTACAACGAAGATGTAGCGCGACAATGAAAGTAGCGTGTATTACGTTTAGTCGTTTAGTCGGTTAATCAGGCGCCATTGACAGCTCTCTCGTCGTTTGCGCTCGCGTTCCTATTTTGTTGAATTTAACTTGTTTCTTTGTTTTGTTTTTGTTATTAAGTTATTTAAGTTTAGGTTAATCATCGTTTGTAATTAATGTGTTTAAATATATTGAAGAAACTTGGCCCAAAGACAGATATCCGTACAAGAAAGAAATCCGTACATCAGATTCAGAATAGTTTCTATTTAAACATGATAATGAAATAGACCCATAGGCTAGGCTCTTGTACGATTTAGGCATTTGTACTTGTATGTGTGTGTATGACAAATGAACGATTTTAAAGTGAATTTAGTTAAAATTAAAACACGAGAAATATTTGAAATAATAGTAGGTTAAGTATCTCTGTGTCACGTGGTTTTCTTTGTTTACCTTTAGTTAATTACCTAAACAGATGGACTATAGTTATTAATGTCCATGGAAGATAAAAAATTGCTAAATAATCATTGTATAATGTAGTAACAAACCTAGATAGAGTCCATTGGTCCCTACAGGGGTGCCGGTGAGGCTGTGTCCGGCCGGAGTGGTGACGGTGACGGTGGGAGTGGCCGCGCTGTTCTTGCGCTCGAACATTGTCTCTATCTTGTCCTGGGTGGACGACGCCTTCTTCTTTGGTGACGCTGCTTTCTTCTTCTTAACTGGCTTCTTCTTCTGACGGCCCAGCCATGGTTCTGTTGTGGAAAATGTGTGTGTTAGTGAAATGGCTCGAGCCTCTGTGCCCGGTCCACGGTATTAAGCTGAGCTCCAGCCTTTTGCGCTGCGACGCACCATGGGCTTTTTTTTGTGTTTCTAAATTCTTGTTGTGTGTCGTAGCAAAATAAATGGTTTTTCTTTCTTTCTTTCAAATGTTAGTTAAGTAAAGTTTAGTATTGTTTTAGTGAAATTAAGTATTTAAACTGATACTAAAGTTAGTTCTCAATAAAAACAAGAACAACAACATGTAGAGAACAAATTCTTAATCATGTTAAGGTGCACATAGGTATAAAATACAATGCCCTCTTTTCACTAGTCCTAATTACACCCATTAAAAAAAATAATATCGTCAACAACCAAACATAATAAGTAGGTTCTATAGAACTCACCATCATCACTATCACTGCCGCCATGGAAGGGGTTGAAGTCTGACAGCTCGGAGTCGGAGCCGGGAGGGCGGCGCTCGTCATCCGACTCCATCTCCAGTTCATCATCAGATCCTCGCACGAACTCGTCTGAGGAGGATCCTCCGCGCATGCGCTTGGCCGCTGCATTCGCTTGCTGACGCGCTGTGACTAGAAAAAATATTGCGAAAGTTAGCATATGAAAAAAAACAATGTCTATTTATTTAGTACCTACTATTGAGTTTAAGCGACTCAGTTCTTCACATGTGTATAAAAACATAACATATGTAGTTGATGGCAATGAGAACTTGCATAGATTTTGAACGCCTAAATGTTGTAATTTCTGATTAATTGCGAAATAAATGCATGTAATTTTACATTCAATACACAAATAATTACAGGACTTTATTTGAAATAAAACTTGTAAAAATAATTTAAATAACCTAACAAGTAAACGACTTGTACTTACGTTTTCTCTTGGAAGTATTGGCCTCATCATCAATTCCATTCTTCCCGTTCTGTTGTGTGTGCGTGGCCTGGTGTGACGGAGTGGCCTTGGTCCGCGGCGGCTCCAGTCCCAGCAGGCGATTTATGCGGTCGCGGTCCGGAGCTGGGAAGTGTTTTTCCACTAACGTCTGGAATACACCCCTGTGGAGACGGTAATATCATTAGTAGGTCGTTTTAAAAAATATGTTCTTAAAATTCCAGTAGAATCTTTTATCTTCTGAGAATAAATGCCTATAATCCGATACATTTATGTATTTATTTTAATAAAAAAAAATATATATATACAACGACGTCGATAGCTATTATCATAATTTATCAAAACAGTACAATTGCATTATTTTATTTACATGCAAACTATTAAAAAACCCAATTTCAATAGACAAGAATTTTAAAAATGTAAACAAGTAAACGTCAAAATTTGAATTTTCCCGCCGGCGCCAACAGGTAGCTGACGCGCAGTTCCAAATGACAGTTGCGGCCGATGCGGTACGGGTCGGCTTTAGTATCCGTTCATTCACCTCGCACCGCCATTAGGCGCTATTTATACGACGGAATATACACGGTCTCAGCGACCGGCTACACATGCGCTATACGAAGTCGACTCGGTGTCAGAGCATCGATTTCATAAAGGTTGTGCGTATTTCGACTATGTGCATTGTTGTGATATGTTTGTAAATGAATAAATTAATCGAACCAAGTGTATCTAACGTATTGAAGTGTTAAAATATTATTTTTCATACAATGTTGTTTTAATACTCTGAAGTGAAATTGAAAGAATGTGTTCTGAACAAAAATTAAAAGATTTCCTCAGTGAAATATCAGAAGACGCCGAATTTCCCGTTTTTAATTACGTTTCGAGTGAAAAATACAGTATTCTGGTAAAATGTCATGTGGATACCGACAAGGACGCTCAATTCTACAGCGAATACGCTTCAGAATGGATAAAAAAGTTTACAAAGTTCACCAAAACTGGTTGGATAGTTCGAGCGTGCTTCCCGCGACTGAAAAGACTATTGTATCGAAAAGTATTTATGTGCCACCACTCTAGTTTCAACAAGAGTAAAATATCAGAACAGGGGAGCTCCAAGGACAAACAATGTAAGGCGAAGATAGACTTCAAAGTAAAGTTTATAAATCGTAACACGATAAGGAACGATAAGATGTTGAAGGCAGGTTTAAATTTAGCAATTTACATCAATTTTGTTCACACGCATAGTATAAGGGCGAGGGAATCCTACAACTTTTTGAAATGTTCGGCTGACACAGACAAGTTGTTCTTGAAATATTTTGCGGAAGGCCACACTGTAAGTACTGCGAAAAGCTACCATGAACTGATGTTACTATCAAATTACGGAGCCGGCCACATTTCTAATGCTGAAATAAACCCTTCATTACGTCACGTATCATACGTATATCACAAAAGGAAAGCGCAGGGACTGGAATGCAATATTACCGATGTAATGGCTGAGAAGATAAAGTCTTTGGAAGAATGTGGAGGTGTAATGAGGTACACAGACGATCATAGCATCACCGTTGTTATTACACCGTTTATGAAAAACGTCATATCAGGACATGAATTTGACAGTATAATTATAGACAGTACCCATACTAGAGAATGTGTAGCATCGTTTTTCTTTGTACCGACCCCTTTGGGCGCGTTACCCATCGTCTGTACATTACACTCACAGATATCGGAGCCCAGTTTCAGTCAAGCTTTCTTTTCTACTAAACTGCTATTAGAAAACCAAACGCTAAAAAGTTTTGAACCACGTAAGATCATGATTAATCAGATTGATGAACAAGATCAAGCTCTAGACGCCATTTTTTCTAATACAACCATATTAGTATCGAGAACGTCTTTAGTCGAAGATATATGGAAGACTCTTTGTGAAGAAGAAGTAAAATATGACGTGAAACAACGACAAAAAGTTATGGAGTTATACAATTCATTGCTACATGCAGCGACTTTAGAAAACGCTGAATTATTTTATCAAAAACTTGAGACTAATAAAATAGTACAATCCATAACAAAACTGAAACAATATTTATCCGATATATGGTTAAGAAGAGAAGAATACATAACACCAAACAGAATAATAGACATGTCATTACGAACGTTGAAACAGTTCATAGTATACAGATGCAAGTCCTACACCAGCTTAGCCATGATAGATGTGTTGACAAACATTTTGGACAAACATTGGTGTCAAATATTACACGCACATTTGTCGAACAAACTGGTCATGGAAATGTACACCAAATATTTGCCAAAGGATAAGAATTTGATGAAAAATTTGGAAGGAGACAGAAAATTAAAGCGAAAAATTGGTGATTTGGGTTTTGAAGCGCAAACGTTATGTTGTGATTGTGTAAAAGGAAAGAAAGGAATGCTATGTGAACATCTATGTGCTATATTACACACAGTAACAATATCTACGTCAGTGCCAGATGAGAAAAGAGCATTTTATACTGCTCTAGCTGGAGACCAAGAAGTCAAAATAGAACTAGTAGCAGAACCCCAAGATTACGAAGAACAATACAATCAAAACCACTATGAAGAAACTCAAGGCTCTACATCAGACAATGAACACACTTTCCGAATAAAGCAAGAAATAGAACACATAGACCCTTTGGACATAATCATTGAAGACAATAATAGACATAATTCTGAAGAAATAGACACAAATATGATAAAAAAGAGTTATGTCAATGGCATTAGGGCTCTAAATGATGAATTCAGAAGACTAAACAAGTTATTTAGGGATAATCCTAACGCATCTAATTTGGAGACTATGGGTCGTTTAGCTAGGGAATTGAGTAAGATAAGGCCGGTAGAGAAAGTAAATATATCCAATATGTGTATAGAATTAACAGATGCAATGGTAATGGATTGTGATTAGGTACTAATTCTGTGATATTATACTAAATACATTGTTCCTAAATTATGGTTTTATTTGTAAGTTCCTAAATTATGGTATTAACATTTTTCTGAGGTATAAACCACTAGCCAGTAAGCTGGTTCGAATTAGTTGACCTGTGAATAACTTACAGAAACAATGCCTACGCTGTGAATGAGGTTACCGTAAGCTCCAATCCACAAATCCTCAATCACAAAATGTGCTACACTTAAAAGGCTGACAATGCACTTGTAATTTCCTTTGGTATCTAGGGTCCATGAGCTGTATTGATTGCTCACCAACACGTGATCTGTCTGCTTATTTGCCGCCCTGTGCCATAAATGACTTGCAATTTGTCCCCACTTTAGTAAACATAAAAAAATATATGTTCGGCCCATCGAATATAAAAAAAATTAAAACAGTAATATTTTAATTCCGTATACCCAAGTTTTGACCCCCTCAAATAGTATTGTGTACTAACTTGGCGGTGGAGACGAAGTCGGAGAGTTCCCCGTCGTCCCGCTCGAGCTGGTCGAGTGTCCGCGCCTCGCCCGTGGACTGCAGCCCGATGACCACGCACTTGCCACACTTCACCGCCTCGCGCGCCGTCACCACGGCGTGGTTCACCTGCACGGACAGAATACTATACAATCCAGCCTGTTTTTGAACTTACTTCGTAAAAAATACCACGACAAAAAGTTATTTTGGTATGAAAAATCAAAATCGGTCTCGGGTTCGATTCCCGAGTCGGGCAAAGTATTACTGGATTTTAAAAAAAATTTCAGTAGTAGCACGGAGTCTGGAATTATGCCCGGTATATGGCAATAGGCTCACCCTTTATTACATGGGACTCATCATAACATAAATAGTGAAAAGTGGGTGTTACATTGTACAGTGAGATAATGTGCACCTTTGCCTACCCCTTCGGGAATAAAAGGCGTGATGTTATGTTATGTAAAAATTAAAATGTGTTGCTAATACTAGGATGTTCTTCTGTGTCGTTGGTCGTCGCATACACATTACACTCAGAACCGGAACGACAATATATAAATCAAACAAAGAATTGTTCCGCGCTAGAATTGAAATTATAACACGTCGCGCTGTAGTCGTTTACCTAACCTCTCGAGATAATGGTGATGACAAACAAAGTTAGTGGAAATATTCGATTATTTTAATATGCCACTGTTAAACTAAGCTACTGCCTCTTTGGCCGAGTGGTCGTAAGTGCGACTGCCGGGCAAGGGGTCTCGGGTTCGATTCCCGGGTCGGGCAAAGTATTACTGGGTTTTTAAATATTCCCAGTAGTAGCACGGAGTCTGGAATTGTGCCCGGTATATGGCAATAGGCTCACCCCCTAACCAAGTCCCACATGGGACTCATAACATAAATAGTGAAAAGTGGGTGTTACATTGTACAGTGGTATAATGTGCACCTCTGCCTACCCCTTCGAGGATAAAAGGCGTGATGTTATGTTATGTTATGCCACTGTTAAGGTAACAACCAAATATTTACAAAAATAATGACAGTCACATCTAAAGTATTTTGTAAACAAGAAAGTAACTAAATAACGTTCTTACCTTGGCTGCGATACACAAGTACTTGAAGAACCGTTGGTGCGCAGACCAGAACTGTCCCCACATGGTCTTCTTCATGCGAGACTCCGCGTTTATCAGTTCCGCAGCCTCCGTGAAACGCTGCATGGCTTCCACCCACTGGTAAATAAATAAAACGTTAAATAGTTATTACCATTAATTACGATCGGAAGAAGTGACTTATCATTGAAAAATCAGTAAAAAAACTCTTGACAACTAAATAAAGTATTACAATTTTACTAATAGCTTGCTTGGGTATAACTTGACTGGTTTAAGAGCTTAGTAATATCTCGAAACTAGTCGGGTGATACCCGAAACAATATATGCATTAAAAGATTATTTTAACACATTGGATGGCGTGTCCGACGCTAGCGGAGGATTGGCCTTTAAGAGTTTTAGTTTTAGTCGGCGATTAAAGGCTTAATACATCTCATCTATAAGTTATTATAGTACCTACTTATCAAAAATTACAAAGGAAACCATATGGAGTTCGCCTTAAATACCTATAATACATAGGAATACATAACTTATGGTTTTAAGTGGAATAAAGTTTAATGAAATAAATAAACACTCCACTGACCAGTGCCACAGCTTTATCATAGGTCTCCTTGAATGCGTCAGAGAGCGGCACCTCCTCGATCTTGAAGGAGACGCCGTGGAAGGAGAGCTGGCGCGCTATGTACATGCCGCGGAGCTTCATGTCCATCGCTACGATCTCCATGGCTCCCACACCTCTGTGGAAAGGAAATTAGTAATATTTACAAAGAGAAATCACCATTACATTTATCAGAACGTTAATCCCTTAACTTTAATTTTTCAGAGCAGAATGAAATACTGCTACTATTACTGAGAATTTTAAAAACAAAAACATTTATGGTCGATACGGGAATCAAACCCGAAACCTTTAGCTCAGCAACCACATTGACGATCACATGGCGAAAAAGACATTCCAATTAACATTAAAAACAAACAAAACTGAACTCTAAAACCAAACCAATAAGAACTCAATCACGCACCTTTTTTCAACAGCGTTGATGAAATCTGTGAAAGTCGGGAATGGTGTGCCGTCTCCCCAAATGCCAAGTCTGACCATATAGGCCATATTCCTCGGCTCACTAGCGCCAGTGGCTGAAGCATACACTACTCTTGCCTTGGGTAATCTATTCTGAAGCTCCAATGCTGTTAATCCAGTCTTTGTTGCTTTGCCGGACCCCACCGGGCAAAGATTCTTTGCTTTGTGACACTCGTCGAAAACGATCTAAGAGTTATTCGCTCAGGATTTTATTGTATGGGTTGAAGAAGATATTATGTATTTGGATATATAATAAACCTAAACAATCCATCTCCAGTTGGAGAGGAGAAGGACAGTAAAAACTTGCCTTATTGCTTAAATACAGATAATTAGCAGACCATAAAAATACATAGTAGAACTAGAAAAGGCTAACCTAACAACGCATCTATAATCCGTCTAGTGTTGCAGATGTCCATTAGCGACGCTTATTGCTTACCATCAGATAGCCTGTCTGTTTACCAAAATTACACAAAAAAGGCAAGCTTGACCATTTCTCAGTCTCTCTATACCGAACAAATCTACAAAGAATACCCTAAAACACATTCCAAAGTTCTTAAAATAAATAATAAATTCATCTTTTGTAAAAAGGATACAACTCCATCGTAATCGTCTCCGCACCACTGCAGTAATTGTTTGAGTCGCGTCCTGTACTTGGTGCTCGTGGATTGTGTTTCTCCAATCAACGCTGAGTATGTGCTGAAGATCACGCCCTTCTTCACGTTACCGTTGACAGCCGATGAGATTTTTGCGTATTTAAACTGTGAGGTAAGGAATCACATTGTTAGAAAAAGTTTAGTGTTGTTAGTAATAAATTATATAGAATTAGGTAATTAAAACTACGGAAAGATCACAAAAACCGAGACCATGACAAATTGGTCAAAGATCCACAAACTTGAGGTTAAGTATTTTATGTTTGGGAGATGTGTGAGGGGCACATATGTCCCAAACATCCTCTAAAAATGCAATACTGGGTCCTTAAATTGTATGTTAAAAGACCTATATTATAAAAAGTGAATGCAGCGCCATCTTTCTTATGGCTCTCGAACTTGTAACAACAGACTCTGTAACACAACAATGAATACACTAACACTATAGATATAAGATACAGAATTGAATGAACAAACAGTACCTTATTAAGAGGATGGACCTCAATCTTCCCAGCGCCGATGTCCCTGAGATCTCGTTCAGCGTCGTACTTCAAGTCGTTGGAGACTGACACCCAGATGGCTCGCTTGCGGCCCTTTATGTAGTTTTCGAATATTATACCCGCTATTGTACGGCCTTTACCCACACCAGCACCATCGCCTGTAATATGAAATAAAGTTAGTAGGGAAATAGGAGATAATGACAGACTGGCTAAGTTTGATTGAAAATGTATGAGAAATCATTACACACATGATTATAAGGATTTTTAATGGGGTAAAATCTCCCTCCTGAGTGAGGCAGGAAAGAGTGTCAGACTCTTAGTGCCTAAATATCACCCCGTTTCTACTCCTGCACTATGAGCCGAAGCCCCGGTAACCTTTTACGTTCTCTACAGTTCCGTATCAGCATCAGCCCAATATCACCCATCACGAATGGGGACAGTTGGGCCCCATTGATTATAAGAATGTTAAGCGAATTTAGTACGAAGAGTTTACGACATCACCTGTTGTAGTTTTCAATAATTATTTTAGTTACTTTTGAGGGGTAATTTATTTAAAAAAAAGAACAGTCTTTGGGTTTTAAGAAAAGTTAACTAAAAAATTACCACAAAACGTAACTAGCTTCGGAACAAATTTAGAAGGAAACCAAAAAGAAAACTTACCAATGAGGAAACCAGCCCTAGTTCCATCAGGCAGTAGATGCTCATGGGCCTGTGACGCATAGACCACAGCTTCCAACTGCAGAGCAGACAGTAGACCGTTGCGGATGGTCTCGTCAGGCAGACTCAGTTTGTACGTCACGTCAACCGGCTCTACTGAGGAGAGAGACGCCGTCTCCACCACCGGATCAGGGTGCTTGCGACCTAGTTTTACTGTGGGTAAAAGAAAGGTGTTCAGTTCGCACTCTTTAACGAGATAACTAAAATGCTACTGTATTGTTTGCCACAAAAACAGAGGAGCCTTTTCACACATGACACCCGAGTTCGAAATAACAATATTATGTGGAATACACAAACGGTTGTTATAGACGGACAGTTATAGATACCAAGCTACTAATGAACTCTGTAATCTCCTTATAAATCCATAATATAGGGCGCCAAAAGCCAGTCAAACAATATCTGATTACGTTTAATTACTAAGAGGAATATCAAATACCACACACGCGACGATTGTGACTTATTTAAACAATAATAATATAATTAGAGTAATCATGACTCACATTTAGTAGGCATGTAGTCTGCGTATGTCTCGGCGACGCCCATTTCTTCATCGTCTACCTCTTCTTCCTCACCGCCCATCTAGAAGATAATTTACAAATGAATCATAAAAGGTGTTAATGAAATTAAAAAATTAAATAAATGTTGAGTACTTTAAGGGAGAACACGTTGTAAATGAATTATTAATAAGAAAGTACTAACACTTTAATCAAGTTGGAAATCGACAAAAAACTCGTGCAAAACTAATATTGTATTCAAAACAATCATGCCCTTTACATGCTATAAAATAAAAAAAGTGTATGAAAAGTATAATAAAATTTCATCCTATAAGTGTCAACATACCTTTTCTTGCTGCCACATATTGCCAGGTTTGTTCTGCGCCCACACGGGAACACCGCCTGCGACCTGACCCAGCTGGCCCAGCTGGCCAAGCATGCCAGTGAAGGGGGAACCCATCCCATTTTGTATAATATGGTTCAAGTTCTGTAGTAAATACGAGTTCATCCCCGTCATACCCACCATCTCCACTGTAGAAGAAAGAAATGTCAATTGCTATTGATAGATGGTGTGTTACTATATTGTATAATTTCGGATGCGAAATGTAGATGGCGCAGTTCTATACTTAAATAAAATCAATAGTTCGTTGCTAATTTTAGATGTTTAGAGGGCGTTGAGGTGACCACCTACATATGTTTTGATTTGTAACTTAATATTTTATAAAAGAGCTTTCAATATATGACATAAATAAGTTTAAGCCACGTCAACGCCTCTACTTATTTGGTCTATGTTACTATTACGTATGTACACAAAAATATTTCAAAATTGCCCAGTTTTTCTATAAAATATTTACAATTAACCGCCAGTACAAACTACAATAAAATAGTAGCCAAAATGTATACTAATACTATTGTAAAATTGTGAGAAAAATAATAATTGAAGTTGATTGCCACATAATGCCAAAATATTTACACTACATTAAAAAAAATTCAAGCTAATTTAAGTATACAAAAATATAATACATTAGTAGGATAATGTGCGAAAAAGCTTGTACTTAGCCATATCTTTTTAGTATAGATAGAATTAAATTGCTAAATGAAAACCTAAATAATGCCACTGCCTGAATGATATATGGCCTAAAACCTCCTTAAATAAAAAAAAAAGTACTTTAGAAAGATTGAGTAATTCACATCACGTGGAAGAAACCAACAAAACACTTGAGAGAAGGAAGAAAAATACAAACAAAAACAATCTATACAAAACAACACTACCTATAGATATAGAGTAAAAGTTAGTCAAGTTTCAAAAGGAAAAATATATCGAGCTTCCTTGCTTTCTAAGTAACTCTGCCCTCTCTATTGCAAAACGTTTTTCTTCGAAGTTCTTATAAAAGTTACAAGTTAAAGGAGGTCAGGCTTCAATATGAATTACTTAACACTAAAAATTGGGTACATTCTTTAATCAAACATAAATTATTTCGACTGTTCAATACAATTTAATATTAAAAACCAATCACAGTTTAATTCATTGATTTTATGACCAACCTTATTTTTGTATTTTTCCAGTAACTTTTGAAGAAATAAGCATGCTGTTTGACGCTAAAAAACGTGACGTCACCATACACCATCGTATAAAATTCATAGAAAACTGTCGTTTTTGACAGTTCGTAAAAAGTATTGAATTTGACTAGTTCAAACCTCCCCTTAGCGTCAGGCACCGGTGACTGACGTGGCACTCTAAGGGTTGACGGTTATACTGATTTTTACCTCGGTATAACATATTTAAGTAGGTAATATTAATTTAGGTTAACTCCCATGATCGAATTCCACACATATTTGTGTAAATAAATTGTATTTGGTTATGATAAATTAGTGTTCAATGGAGTTGAGTGAACATTAATTTACTTAATACTTTAACTGCCAAGTTTAAAATGGTGAAAGTCGAAACCTCCCGTAGCGTCAGGCACCGGTGACTGACGTGGCGTTCTAAGGGTTAAATGAAATGTATATTTTAGACAGCAAGTAATTTAGCATAACACGTCAAACATTATCAATCATCGCGACTCTTATTAAACTTGGATTTAAAGAAAAAGAAACAGCATAGAAGCAGAAGATAAAAAATCTGTAAGTACTTCTATAAAAACAATAAAAAATATTGCCTTCGAAGAAACAAAACACTAAGAAATCTAGCGCAAATAATTAAAGAGATACTTATTGCGAAAAGCACTCTTCATATGAAATGAAAACAAAAACATAGACCTATAAAAATAACCAAGTAAAATATAGGGCAGGTAGTCTAGAAAACGAGGTCACTTCTAAAAATATAAGGAGAAGGTTATATCGGCTTGGTAGGCCAATACATCATGAATAACTTAGCTATTAGCCAGAATGGCCTACAGCAATCACATTATCGATTGCACTGGTCAACACTATTTCTATTTGTACTGAAACCTACTTATATCATGAGCAACGCGTCAATGGAAAAATTATAAAAATCAGTTCTAGATATTGTGTCTACTGTTGGTAAAGTTGGCTCGTTGACAGAGTGGTCGTAAGTGCGACTGCCGGGCAAGGGGTCTTGGGTTCGATTCCCGGGTCGCGCAAAGTATTATTGGGTTTTATTTTTAAAAAAATCTCAGTAGGTATATGGCAATTGGTTCGACCTATTATTGCTTGCATGGAACTAAAAATTCTAAAATAAATTATTAGTTTCTAAATACCATTTATAGAGCAACTACATCAATTTTGTTAAATTTTGCTACAGCTACATAGTTAACTACTATACAGTATGATGCAAAATTATACATGCTGATTTATTTTTCTATACAAGAAAATTATTCTAATTTTTGGTGATGGCGCTGGAGTGGAAATCAATTTATTCTGTAAAAAATACTTCTTACAATTATTATTATAATTATGGTAAATAAATTTAATTTTACTAAAATCAACCAACGTGGTTGATTGCATCCATTCATAATCTTCGGAAAATAAGTAAAGAAGACATTCATTATTCCAAGCCAAGAATGCAATTTTTACAAAAAAAAAAAAAATCAGCGTGCATGGCAAGTAACTACGGTAAGTAATAAAATAAATAGGAATATATTACATACAGTATGAGGCTAACAATACGAGATAGGAATGCCACTAAAAATAGGATCTTCTTCTTATAAACATAGAGCAAAATTTTGTCTGTCAATCAATACAGTTCCAAATTAACTGAACTTTAAAGAAATCACAACTTTATCAAAGAGAGATTCAAGCCTAAATTCAAAAATCATCTCGTATCGTTAGCCATAGGTGTATATTATCGCGATGTACGCGTTAGATTGCGGGCACACTACACCGTACTCACTCTGAGCGAGTAGCGAAGCGGCATTGTACGCCGCCGACGAGCCCGCCGCGAATGGCGACGGCGGGACCACGGCGGGCGCTATGCAAAATCACCGATTCAATCAAGCTGACCATTATATTTATATCATATAGGTAATGTAAAATATTCATGATTCCTTAATTATACTGGCCGTTTATGATTAAAAACTCTTATTGATTTAGTGACCCCAAGCGTCCAATATTATACAATTTGGATAGCTATTTTATATTTGGAAATCAATACAAATAAGTCTGGATATATTTTTTATTATTATTATATACCATTATAGCAATAGGTACAGGCAACCCATTGCTTAAGCTTTTAAAATTAAGCTTACAAAATATTCATATCTGATAAAAAAAAACGTTATATTTTATAAAGGCAGGGACTTAAATATGTCTAATAAGTGGAATCAGTGGGGTAAAAACGATACTCATCAAGTGTATTAATCGATACACAAGGTATATCGTCCCTCCAGGAAAAACTACCATATTTGGGCGAACGATAAATATTTTGGATAATTGATACGATAAACGAAGGATTTAAGGAAAAGAAGTATACTCTTGTTCCTAAAAAAGACGTAATTTTCCCTTGAACAATAGAGAAGCTTATAATTTGGATCATTATGAAGTTTTCGGTATATAAAACGACATAAGTAAATGAAATTCGCCAATGGTTTCTTTCTTAATAATGGTTTCTTAATTAACTTAAAAATTTTGACACACAATAATATTAATAAAATCACCGCGTTTAAACACATGATTATTTAAGATTTTGGAGGTTCAAATAAAAAGAGTAGTGCAATAATAGTTAACGGTATGACGCTCATAAAATAATAATAACCACGATAACACCGGTGAATTGTGAATTTGTTTTATAAATGATTTTTTATTTTTTATTTCATTTGGTTACACCAGCGCCGGTTTTATGAATCAATAACGTTCAAATGAGCATTTCGCATTCTCCTGTAAGGTATAAGCACAAGGGTGCATAGTCTTTCAAAGCCAGTACTTCCACAATATCCCTAAAAGGACAAGGTGTTCTCTCTCACCTACTCCATTATAGACTTTATTTCTTATGTTTAGAGACTACTTTTGTAAGGACAACTTTGGTTGTTCAAAATGGATATTTCTAGGAGGGCAAATCGATTTAATTCTGGGCATAAATCCATAATCTATACTGCCACTAGGAATTGAATCAAAAACAGTTTGCCCACCTCGGGAATAGAAGTAACATTCTCACGCTTGGGGCCACTAGATGAACAGGACATTAATAACATGTAAAATACTAAATGTAATGAACGACGTCACGGTATGAGTGTTGTTTCATGATATTGTACTTAAAAGATCTTTATCGTAAGTTTTCGTAGAGACGACATCTCAATATAGACTTTATAAAAAACAGCCAGCTTTAAAAAGCCTCGTATTAAATGACCAAACGCAACAACAACGGCTCAACTAAAAGTGGTTACTTCAATCGCAGTTTGTGTATAAAAAATATGAAGAGTTCTTACCTCCAGCTCCTCTTAAGTTGGCTATGTTCAAGGGTTTGGTGAGAGAGCTAGCTGAGATCTTGATTGGCTTGACATTGCTGACTTGGCCAAACGCGTGGCCAGAGGGTGCTGGGGACATACATTTGTAAATCAGTAATCACTATACTAAAAATATAATACTTCAGGAGGGCTTAGTATTGTTTGTTTTAAGTTTAAAGTAATCGAACGAGATCGTGTTCGGCGCTCTGATTGGCCGGCTCCAATGAACCGATCGCGGTCGCTCATACTGAGCCCTCAGTTTTCTAAACAACACAAATGCAATGCCTGTGTCAACAAAAAAAGAAGAAAAAAAAATGGCCATTTTTCCCTTTCCGTTTTTCCTGCTACCTTAACTGGACATATACTAAACATACGTTTTCTTAAATTTTCCGTATATATTTAGTAACATAATTCGTAATCTCTGTCTCTATAATAACTGGGGAGAGCCATGCTTCGGCACGAATGGGCCGGCTCGACCGGAGTGATACCACGGCCTCACAGAAAACCGACGTGAAGCAACGCTTGCGTTGTGTTTCGTCATGTGAGTGAGGTTACCGGAGGCCCAATTACCCTCCCCTTCCCCAATCTCCCCAATTCCTGAATCCCCAACGATCCTCGAACTCCTAATCCCCAAAAGGCCGGTAACGCACTTGTAACGCCTGTGTTTCAGGTGTCCATAGGCGACGCCGATTGCTTACCTTCAGGTGATCCGTCTGCTCGTTTACCGGTTTATGCCATAAAAAAATGATCCATAACAGCTATATTTTAGGGAGTATATTGCATTGATAAAATGATCAACTTAACAGGGAAAAGAGAAATATAGTGCGACACAGCGTCAATTTATTCTGATTGAAATTCTCAATACACGACTCGAGTGCATTATCTGTTCGGCTCACTCAATATCTCGTTGTCGTCTTCGTGTGTGAAGGACAAATGTGATCGCGATAGACGTAATAAAAAGCTTACAATAGTTTGCATCTTCATAAAAAAATTGAATTGAAAACACAATTCAAAACTTGATATGATTTTGAACCGTTGAAACACGTTTTTCAAAGAACCACCATTTTATGGGCAGACGAATCACCTGATGGTTAGTGACTGGCGCTGCCCATAGATTGCCCTGAAAATTAAAATGGTTTGTAAACTCCTCTGACCTGCAAGTGGGTTTGTGGTGGGTTTGACGATGACCTGAGGTGTGACTGTGACTTTCTTGGCCGCCATGCTCGCTGCCGCCGCCAGGGTTTTGCCGCCACCTGATAAAACAAACAATATAATATAACTATGGCTCCTGAATTAAAAATCTGACAATTTCGTACCTTAATATTTTATCCCTACGTTTGAAAACATAATTCAACATTTATATCAGACCGAGACCAGGAATAACAATTTGTGATTCATTCAAAAATTGTTCCGTGCGGGAATCAAACACGCGACTAATGTATGAAGCATGTTCTATTATGTTAAACCTGAACTGTCGACCTAGTACAGTTAATTGAATAGGGAATCTACAGTTCAATACAACGATTCGGGTGGATAAGCACGTGTCCCTTACATTATATTATGGACACCTGGGAGGCACCACACCATAGTAGTCAAAATAGGGTCAAACTATCGACTCTTCCGATGTTTTTTTAATAATTAACACGCTTTTATTATATCCAATAATGGAGTCCGGTTTAGCTGCTAAGAATCTTTTATAAAGACACTTTAGCTAGCAACTTCATCCACGTAGAATAGTTAATTTAGGCAAAATTAACAAGGAATAGAAATTTACAAGTTCTAAAGGTCTATTCGTTCTTTCCCCCCTCATTGACCCTTCCTAAGGCCTCTGTGTGTACCACATAAACACCACATCTCAGTCTACAATTAGAGTATAGGCCTCCTCTACATAACGAGGGTTTACCATAATCTCCACGTGCTCTCTGATAAATGTGATGTGTAGTCCCATTATAGATGGGTCGACCAAAGTACCAGTAGGAAGACGTCTGCAAAACAGATTTGAGGTTGCTTCGGGTCAATAATATTGGTAATATCAGCGTAAAATTGAGAAATCTCATATTTATGTTATAACATTCGTGAGACATTCCGCCACCCGCGACGCGGTGACAGTAGAAGCGCGACAGTCGCTGGATCGCGGGTTGCGGAATGCTGCTCATCAATATGAGCCTCTAGCTTCGCTTGAAACTAGTCGTCGAGTTCCTCGTCAAATAATTACGCGAGTAAGCTGAAAAATATATTAATTAAATCTCATATTGGTGGTGGGATCCGCTTTGGGTCCAGGATACAGGGTTTGCTCCATTAGCTCAGGCAAACTGTATCGGCTCATTTACGGGAAGATTACGGGTCGTCATCTGTTATTACAGACACCGCTCTCTCGATATATTTTTTAGTGTTGACATAGTGTTCATTTAGCAACAAGCTAGAAATGTGTCAAGGCTACATCACGGAGGTATCACTCCTTCTGTACTCTCCCTCGAAGGTCGACGTGGAAAAGGTAGGTAATAAGATCATGTATTCTTGGAATAGTGTTCCCTTTCCTTAGTAATATTCTAAAGGCGAAAGCATGTTTATTTTCCTTTCATGTTTTTTTTTTTATGGCATAACCGGTAATCGAGCAGAAGGATCATGGTAAGGAATCGGCGTCGCCCATGGACACCTGGAACACCAGAGGCGTTACAAGTGCGTTACCGGCTTTTTGGGGATTAGGAGTTTGAGGATCGTTGGGGATTCAGGGATTGGGGAGAGTGATTGGGCCTCCGGTAACCTCACTCACACGACGAAACACAACGCAAGCGTTGCTTCACGTCGGTTTTCTGTGAGGCCGTGGTATCACTCCGGTCAAGCCGGCCCAATCGTGCCGAAGCATGGCTCTCCTACACTTAAAATGTGGGAACAAAGCGTTGTTATGGTATCATTTTTGATGGTTTTTTTTGAGGGAGGAAAATCATCCAAAACTTCTATCGCCTTGAGTTAGGCGAGAGGGAGTCTCAGACTATTACTGATTAAAAACCACCCCGTCCTTATTCCTGCTCTTCGAGCCGGAGCCCCAGCCATCCGTAAGGCCTTCCGCGGTTCCGCATCGGGCATCGGCCCTATTGGGCCCCATCTGTGGCGGTTTGATGGCTCCTTGAGAATTTTTGATGACTGGATAAGAACATTTTGCTCGACCCATAGATAGAACTGACGGCATTAGGAATATCAAAATTGAAAACCCCAAGACATGTCTAGATATTCAATTTCAAGTCTAGAAAATTCATACCACCTGGACCTATATCAACATAGGTAATATGTAACTGTCTACTTATAAAACGAATCTCCCACATACATGAATATCCCAATGTCACCTTAATACATACATAATAATGCACCCTTGAGTGATATTCAATATAAGAATACATTTACATTTTTACATTAATTTCAATAAAAATGTTTCTGTTTCTTGTAACGGTGTGAGAAAAGTAAACAAGTTTACCTACTGTATATATACCTATATTATATTGTATTGCACTTAACTATTAAATAGAGTTGTACAAGGCTAAAGATCTACCGTGGCGATTCAAGTGTGGGGAGCCATGCTTCGGCACGAATGGGCCGCCTCGACCGGACCATGGCCGAGCAGAAAACCATAGTGAAACAATGCTTGCGTTGTGTTTCATCGTGGATCGATTTTTGACATAAACTCCATACAACTAATGTCAAAAACCGATCCATAACCGCATTTTGGATTAATACAGGTCATCAATTTCTGCTCTAAGGAAATACACATTTGATAGAAATCGGGCAGCAGTACTCACGAATAAACCTGCCAGCCAAAGATACGAGATTATGTCCAACCTTCTTATGTAGAGGAGGTCCATGGTACAGTGGTGTACTTTCATAGTTTGTTGACAAAAGATCATCGAAGACGCAAGGTCTTTGTTAAGGGTCGACTTTGTTACACTTGATCTAGGCAATCAGACAGTGAAGTAAAAATGCATTCTTTTAAAAACACTTACCTGGCACTTCCAAGTTATCAGGATCCTCGTCATCATCAAAATCTGAGTCGTCCGACGGCGTCGGGGGATTGTCCTCATCATCATATGCTGACCGTTTAGACTAAAAGAAGAAACAAAACCAAATTATGGTACAGATTGACAGCATGGCAAAACGCCTTAACTAGAGGACAACCATGGTCCAGAAGCAGATTATGACAGGCTGTTGGTAGCACAGCACTTAAAAGCACACACAACTTAAATTAAGTATAAAAATGTATTACTTTAATAAATAGATTCAAATGCACTGCCTCGTTGGCCGAGTGGTCGCAAGTGCGACTGCCGGGCAAGGGGTCTCGGGTTCGATTCCCGGGTCGGGCAAAGTATTATTCGGTTTAAAAAAATCTCAGTAGTAGCACGGAGTCTGGAATTGTGCCCGGTATATGGCAATAGGCTCACCCCCTATTACATGGGACTCATAACATAAATAGTGAAAAGTGGGTGTTACATTGTACAGTGGCATATTGTGCACCTCTGCCTACCCCTTCGGGGATAAAAGGCGTGATGTTATTATGTTATTCAAATGCATTTAGAAGCACTTGAAATAAGTTTCTGTTATATTTGTCAAGATCAACAAATCTTATGAATTTATGACCTACATCCTTCAATCGTGTTTTATGACTCCAATACATTGTTTTTTAAACATTAAAATCATTATCAGGTTGATAACCTTGACAAAATAGAATTCAAGAGGTAGGACTATTATTGACCTTGGCTTCTTTCTTGCTAGAAATAGTTGAAGGTCATTTTCGTCCCAGCACTCTCAATAGTTTCACTACATACTCTATATTTTTGGTTGCATGACTGGCATTTTTGCTCTTTCTAGATCTAGTATTTGTGATTGGAAAAGGGCATATTATAGTATCTATATAATATATCGATTTTGCATTAACATTGCATTTTTTTAATCACCATAATTTAGACTGTTTCTAAGTTAAAAGCACATAATTATTATACCTGTAGTTTGAAAACCTAAACAATCTTTGATTAAGTATCATCTGAATTTAAAGCATTTTAAACAACAGAATTTTGAATCATATTAACTATGAAATAAATTACATAATATTAAACCACATCAATAGATATATATTCCTTTTAGCTGTGTCGCAGACTGGTGACTCATCATCAATTATATTCAGGGAATTCCAAGACAAAAATGAGGGCCAATAAAATATCTGCCATAATAATATTATCAGGGAATGCCACTATTATTATTAACTGGACATGAAAACAAAATTAGCCTCTGAAATTTTGAAATCATACCATTTTGCATGATTATAATTATTGAGAGAGATTGTTCTGTAGTCAAAACAATGCATAAAAACATTTGGGAACAGCCCAATCATTAAGAAACATGTTCTTGATCATTTTTAGAATATGTGGAGGCAATGTTATGTGGTTTTCTTACTTATGAAATTATACTGAGTACTATTGAATTAAGAATATTAAAAATGGTTAGTTGTTCGTTTTTAATAAATAGTTTTTGCTTACGTCCAGTTTCTATATCCTATCTATCTGTAGATTTGCTTACTAGAGATAGAATTTTGACATGAGCTCCATACAAAATGTGTCAAAATTCTATCTCTAGTAAGCAAATCTACAGATTAATCAAATCTTTGTTGTCGATTTATTTTCTGTAAATAAAAGGTACAAAAGAAAAAATACCATGCGGAGTACTGTTAACCGGCTTTTATGACATGGATTTCATGAAATCTAAAGAAGTATAAAAAGATTTTAGTTAACTATAATTTATAGTATTCTGCCTCCATGGAACAAACACATGAGTTTAATAAAAGTATGAAAGCCAGAAAAATAAATAATGAATCAAAAGTAATTGAAAGTAAACACTGTAAACCATGCCTAATTCCGGACTTTATGCATATTTAGTAATTAATTGTATGTTGTTGATGTATTTTATATAAAATGCGCTCTTTGTAACAATCATAACAGAGATGACCTTGACAAAATAAAATGATTGATTTGGCCTCCATTTTCATGATAAATAGAAATTATTTATCTTTTTCATCATCATCCATTGAAAGATATGCAGTATTAACAAAGGTATGCTTTAAAAAACACCACAACTGGTAAGCAGTTTAGAGACGGAAGTTTAATAACTGCAAAGTCATACAGTCGAATTCAGAACCTCTTCCTTTGGGAAGTCGGTTGGAAATTAAATGATGATGCTCCGTATATACAAGAAGCTGTTTTATCATATAATAATAATCTATATTAATATTTATAATTGCTTTTCACTTATTTAAAAAAAAATAGTTACCTCAGATTTAGAAAACATGTTTAGATGTGGAACTCCAGTCAACACTTTTCAATATTATATTAAATTCAAAGAAAATATAATTAACACAGCAAATTTTGCTACTATGTCAACAGATTTTTTTTATAACCCGAAAATTCCTCTATGGTGGTCTGGCTCGCAGGGAGAAACACTAGTGAATGTGGTATATTTACCTCACCCAAACTATTTTATTGGTGCCTTTGCTTACCTGTACCACAGACATAACAAAGGACTTTTTCTCACCGTAGCATTTATTTTGAATTGATTAAAATGTATTTCCAAAGAATAATAAATAACAACAATAGTGTTAGAATTCATTTTTAAGGCCTTGACTTTGTTTAGATAAGTTTTTATCTAAATGTCATCTTTCATTTTACTTAAATTGAATTCATATTAACATGTGATTCATTTAACATAATTATAAAATATTAAAAGCCTGATCATGTTTCTGGAATTGAGTAGATATGTTTGAATTACTTTATTTTAGAGTTTTAAAAGAGAATGTTTTAAATAAGAGCAAAGATAAAGGTAAAACAGTTTGTTATCTAAAAAAAAAACAAAAAAAAACAACACATGGTTCTTTATTTTGGGTTTGACTTTTGTTGACTCAGCAATATTTATATACCATGCATAATTATTTCAATGATATGACTGCCTAATCATCTACAGGTATATAGCAATCAATCAACAAATATTAAAAAGGGGATAAAAATATCATAGACAAGTTTTAGGAGTAACCAGAATAACAAAGTCTTGGCACAGTCTGAATTATTACATTACCTATAGTTGGCAAAAGCACCAAAATACAGTAAAAAAACCTTACATAACTGATAACATGGTTTTATAATGCTCTTTTTATGACTATTTTACTTTCCACCATGATAAAGTAAATGCATGTATTGAGCAATTCTAAAAATCCATCATATTGCATTCAAATCTTATAAATACGTATTTATCATATCAGTATTACGAAGAAAGCCTAGATACGAGTTAATAAAGGCGTTTTCATCATCCAAACACAAGAATTCATCGATCTCAATGCGTTAACACCGCATTGTAGCAGTGTGCTAGACATAGGCACAGTGCAGTACTTCAAGACGTATTCTAACACTATACCTAGAACCTTCCAAGAAAATCAATACAGCCACACCCAGCTTGAATAATTAACACCCCGGGAACATGATCAAATTAGGTATCTAACAAAGAAACATTGAAATAATAACACATGTGAGATCGACATCACCTTATGACAGTTTTTTTTGGTTAGAAAAATTGAAAACAAAGAAAAAAAAAGGAAAAAGTCCTGTTTTTGTGACCTTCGTTAAGATCAGCGTTATAATCGTCAATTAATCCCAGTAAATTTGAAGGCATTTAAATGAAAAATAAGAAAAACACATTTTTCAGCAAAGTAAAGTTTGTAAAAAGTATCAAAACAAAAAACTATCATTACCATTTTTTTAGACGAATATGACGATTTGAAGCACACCAATAACTCTGTTATAAACGTATATAATTCACAATAATAATAAAACACTTCTATTTCACACACTTATGAAATTTTAGCGAGACACTTCTTATTTCACGATCTTTACGATACTAAAAAATGCAGACGTCCGAACGGCGGTCATTGCTTCCGCCATATTAAAAAAAGGGCAGAGAGTAAGGAATTGTGTGCTCGGATACAGACAAGAAACACGCTAGATTTGACAATGACAGTTAACAAATTCTTAAAATAGCACGGAGCAGTTTTGTATTTCTAGATCTTACTATACTAATAATTTTATAACTTCTGATTACATTTAAATAACTGTAATTTTTTATGATTTTCTTCAACTAGTTCAAATAAATAGTAATAAAGCAATATTGACACACTCTACTCTTGAATGATATCCAAACGTAGCAAAACTCAAATTCAGCGAGCAATTCGTGGCACAGACAACATAGAAATAAATAATTAATTAAAATTCCGCGCTTTGGTTTATTTTTCCATACGTAATGCATCAATTTTCTGTAATTAATAATCATAATCTTATTAACACGGCGAAACACAACGCAAGTATTATTTCACGTCAGTTTTCTAAGGCCGTGGTATCACCCTGGCCTGGCTAAGGTGGCCCATTTGTGCCGAAGCATAGCTCTGTCACACTTGCCTACACATTTACGTTGCATAATAACTTGATCTAACGCTTTCATGCTTACAAATGCTTTTAACCATAAGATAATATTTTAAGAAATACAACGATAGGATAAATTTGGACATGTAAGGTCTCCCGTTCTTCAGCGCCATCTGAATAGTACTAAAACGTTAGCCCTCATTACATTATAGCTATGGTCGTCGAGGCGAAGTTTCTTATGCCCAATAAATGAATACCTTAAATTTCCAGAAACTACGAGTAGTTTTCAACTTAACTTAAGCTTACTTGAACATATTTTTTGTAGTAAAAAATAGGATTGGAAAAATAAAATAAATCTGGGCTTAGTCTAGACTATCAGTTCAAATTACTTTTAAATACTTACTTTTATATACTCTTTTTGTCTGGACATTTTATTTTTCCGAGGTCTAAAGTCGTAGATCGTTTATTCACGTATTTTCAGCTTGGTTTGGGTGCAAAATAAACACACATCTATGGCCGAGCAAAATTGCATGTATTTATTTAACTATGTATCACTAATAGACGAATAATTCATATCATTGTTATAATCACATTTCCTTCTACTAAGCACCAACATCAAGCGGACAGTTTATCTTTAAAACAATCAATGAACAACTATCACACTTAACACAACTGAGAGTCTCCTTTTTTGTAACAAATCCTTGAAAATTGAATTCTCCCCAGAGTGCAATTATAGCGCTGAATTGACTGTAATGTCAATCTATTATAATATTGATCAATCAATTGATTGACAAATTTTACATCAATCCATTATTTAATAAAACTGGTATAATAAATTCAGAGCGTAATATAACAGCGGATATTTACACAAATAGAATTGACACGTCACTTAAATTTATACACGTTATACCACGAGATACACTGCTTCAAAACTAAAACAAATTAGGGAGTCATTAAACAAAAATTCTTAATTACTTGTTTGCCTAATTATATGATAAGCAACACATTTATATAAATGAATGCATCCGAGATTCCGCTCAATCGATCTTTAGGCACATGCATTAGTCATAACTGTAAAATTTTGATGAAAATGATTCTTGTAAACATTAATAATTACTTGTAATTTATTACTTTCCCTTAGCTAACTGGGTTGTAAACATCAAGTACAGTTATAACAGATTTAAACACATTTAACTATAACAACATTTATGATTCTGACTATTTATTAGTGTAAATTTAATGTCAATCAACTTTTTGATTGATTAATCTATCAATCAAGAAGTAGATGATTATATGCATTGACTTTTATACATAAAGTAATCAATCTATTGGTGCAATTTATTAATCATTTATCTATTTTTTATGTAAGTGCAATATGATTTTTTACATTCAGAAAACCTTAGTTGCTAATTGCATGTAATTTGTAACTAAACTATTATTCAATTTGTAAACATTGACAATTCAAAATAAACAAATCCTTAAATGTTAATTTATATTGAACATTTTATAACTTTTGCTATCCTAAAATAATGATACAATACATTTTAAAATAGAAAATTGAAAAATAATAACATAAAGTTTAATTAAAAGCATTTTTATTGTTCGCCTCTTTTGAATAGTATGGTCTGAACATTTAAATATTGTGACAAAAAGGAACTATAGAATGCACTGAAAATATGTATGTTGTTGTTCCCCTATATAACATAAAATGTGTCAATAATAAAATTAAGACCACCTTTGACATATTTAGGATTAGGTTATCAATCAGTCAATCGAACAGTTGTGACTGGCTATTTATCAATCAATGAATAGAATTAAAATTTACACGACAAATATTTTAAACTGATGCCAACATGGGCACAACAAGTCTCTATAAAACAATATTTGATTCATATTTATATTTTCAATTTAAAAATTGATAATCTATAGAAAATTATTTCAATGAACACATTGATTTTAAAAGTGGTTTCCGTACATGCCTGGCATGGGCATGTTGAGTGGTCCCATGGGGTATGGCACGCTTGGGGGTCCTTGTTGCCCATAGCTTGGGTAGGGTAAGTATGGCTTTGCGAACCCATTACCGAAGGAGCTCTGACTGCCAGATCGGAGTAGCTCAGCCATTTTCTCAGCTTTGAATTTCCGTAAATGCATGTTTTTGCGGGCTGGTTCAAAGTCTTCAAGGAACTTTTCCACTGGTATCTTTCCTGATAGAAAGTCTTGTGCAAGGTTCTCAGATTGTTCCTCAGATTCAGCTGCTGCTGTCTGTAGGAGTGCTTGAGTCGTGTCTGGAGATATGCCAGCTGATTTCGTTTCTGATGAAAAAAAAAGCGAACGGCAATTACGAAAAGTTTTTGTTGAATGAAAAATAATTTGTATGTAGAAGACTAGACAGTTGGAGATGGCTAGGCAACTGGCTTCCACACAATGTGCAGCAGGTTTTATTCCTGCACGGAGTAACTCATTCTGTGATTCACAAATTGACATTTTATATCTGGGTGTGATGTGTATGTGAATTTGTATGTTAGTAAACACACACACAACACAGGAGAAAAGCCTACTGTGGGGCAGCAATTAAAAAAAAAAAATAATAAGTTGTATACAATGATGTCATGTGCTTAATTAATAGTCTGTTTACCCAGTGATTAAAAAGTGTCATTTTATGTAGAAATTGGTGATAAGAGTGTTTAACAGTACTCACTATATTCTTCCAATAACTCTTGGATCCTGGTGCACAACTGCTCCCCCATTTCAGATTTTTCCAAAACCGCTGCCTTTGTTTCCTCTAGTTCTGGCTCTTTGCTCAAATTAAACTCGGCTAAGGATCTATTGCTTGCTATAGTCATCTCTCTCTCTGTTTCCCAATCTTTTACCTGTAAAACAAACATAATTATTACTTATTTTATAGAATGCTAATTACTTGTTCTAATTTTTACAATTGTTAAAAGAATTATAGTTTTAAATAAGTATTTTGGATTATAATATCACACGTAGAACTGATATATTTTTTATATTTAAATCTAAATTTGTGTGAACGCCACCCTTTGTTATTAAAATAATGACTCATACTTTGTAATTATTGTGAGAAGTCAATTTTATAATTAACCCAACGAATATACCACAACATGAATGCTTTATCAGAATAGCAGAACTACACAGGAAATGAATACATATTAACAATTTATTTTGCTATTATTACCTGTTTTACGTCTTTTAAAACACTGTCGAATTTAGTGTCGTCATTTAACATTTCCTTTAGTTCGTCCGAGTTTAAATGAGCCAGTAAGCCTAGGGCTGAAGGGTAGTCCGGCTGGATCATCTTGATATCACAAATGTACAACTACAATCACAGAACTAATCACTGTAAATAAAATTGCGAAATGTCTCTAAAGGAAATAATAGCCATCAGGCAACAACAATGAATGACAAAATTGACACTTGACAGAAGTCTAATGTCAAAAGTTAAATTATTCTTAGAGCTGCGTTCACTTTAGTAGGCTTCTAAATAATCGGGGGCACTTTTTACTGTCATTAGATTAGCAGATTTCTGCATTAGCAACATTCTACAGTTAGACGTCAAAATGACGATATCAGAGAGTACAATTTAGATTTTTCAAATTCTCATTGTAAATAAGATTTAAATGCTAATTATTAAATAGAACACATGACAAATTTCTATATTTATTGTGACGACCAATAGTTCCATTAGTTCTAGTCAGAAATGTTACTTAATGAATCGCCATATGACATAGAATTTTTCTACAACTTTTACGTGAAATTCCTTGCGGAATTATTGTTGTATTTTAGGAATTTCGCTCTTTATATAAGCTTATGGCTGTTGGGCTATGTGTTAGTGTGTTGTGTGGTGTATCGACGGTATGCAAGGCGGCTACCGACGAGGACTCGTGGAGCTTTAGGCGCGAAGAGAGTGTTGGTAGTGGTGGCTCACCCGGATGACGAGTGCATGTTTTTCGGGCCTACGATCTTCAGATTGTGCGAGCAAGGTGCTGACGTGCATGTGCTGTGCTTATCTAATGGTATGTGACATTACTTGACCTTTAAACTGTATTATTCCTTTCATGTTTACGAGGTAAAGGTCAAATGTTAATCAGGTGGCCATTGATAAGAATAATTTCTATGCAAGAGCACGCATTAAACAACTTACTTTATTTAAAAAAAATAATCCATCCATGCAATCATATGTCCTTATTAACACTTTTACAAGTTTAGAACTAATTTAATTAATTTTCAGGTAACTTTGAGGGCAAAGGCCGTTTAAGACAGAAAGAGCTATGGGATGCGTGCAATGAGCTGGGTGTTCCAGATGAGAACATATGTTTAATTAACGATGATAGACTGCAGGACAATCCGAAGATCAACTGGCCAGTACCAGTGTTGGCTAAGCTAATCCATCACCATTTAGAATCAATAGACATAGATACGCTTGTTACATTTGACCGAGGAGGTGTCTCTGCACACGCCAACCACTCCGCTGTGTTCTATGCTGTTGCTTATATGTTTGTTGAGAAGTTAATACCACAAAGTAAGTAGTTAGAATATTTTCTATAGTTCTAAACTATTTTAATTTTTTTGTGTCCTAGAATTTGTAAATAAAAAATTTAACTAACATAAAATTTAGTTGTTGATACATTTTAAACACAATAACTTTAGTAATGTCAATTTGAATTGGTCAAGTTGATACTTGAAAAAAAAAAAAACAGTATACACTGATGTGATTGTTATTCTTCTTTTTTATTCTGTATTCTATAATCATTACAATAACTTTTTTATATTTTTCCAGGATGTACTGTGTACACATTGGATTCAGTGAATTTGTTCAGGAAATACATTGGATTTCTTGACTTACCACTTAGTTTCTTACTGTCTTCTAAAAGGTCAGTAAATTAATATATTACTACATAAATATGTAACTTTATTATGTATTGTTTTATGTATTTCAGTGTGATAGTTTTGTCTTATAATGCAATGCCCCTTATTTTTTTCTTTAATTCGTGGTCTGTGGCAACATAGATCTACACGAGACATTTATTTTCTATTGTGTCTTATATGCTGACAGACAAGAGAATATGCTTAACTCTTTCAGTCTTGGTGGTCACTGTAACTAACCACCTTTTCTTAGAAATTCAATTTTTGAAGTATGCTTCAAATTACTTTGCATTGGTTTTTAACCTTTTGAACGCCAGAGCAAAAACGCATGAACTTGCCCTCAACGCCAAGCCACAAATTCACCGCAAATACCTACGAAAAAAATAGGGATTCCAAAACTTTATCGATAATCAATTTTATTTTCATTTTCGTCTTTAATTTCGAAATATAATGTCCTTATAACATTGACATTTAATTCAACATTACATTTCTTCCTATTAAAGTAATAGTTATACACTATTTACAGACTTGTATAATATCGGAATAACAGATATGAGACTACAATATATTTAAATATAATAACTGTAGGTACAACACTATTCTTGATCTGCTGTCTTCATATTGTGACCATGGCGTGGACGGCCCGCCATTTTATTAACTACTTCGCTTCCGAAATAAGGATGTGGCAACGTAATATCTCGTTTATCGATGTTCTAGTACAATATTATTTTATAATAAATGAAACACGTTTTTTAAAGCAGATTTATAATTCCGAATGTAACAGGTACTTAAAAATATATGATTGAAATAGGTTAAGAAGGTAAATAAAAACTATGAAAAAATAGAAAATTTTAATAAAATGTTATACAGTATGTACTATGTATACATGTTTTTAAATATTAAGTTCTATAAACCTGGCATAAAAAGTAACAAATTAAAACAATTAACGATTATATATAATTATCACAATTACCAATCAGTCTTATACTAATAAATCTTTTGAATAATAGAACAAAATTATACAAAATCTGCCTTGTATTATCTTATCATCTAATAGTGAGCCATATGTAAATAAAATCTAATAAAATCCTTCTAATATGCGAAGAAGTTCTTCCGTAGTCATTAAATTCCCACTCATTATAATAGTCACTTAATATAAATCTTGAACTCGATATCACAAGTAAATTAATCATAAATATTATTCATTCACTTCACTAATTTCTGGTCGCCGCGCTTGTGACGTCACGATATTGTCGTCTAGTCGTGACCATGGCGTACAGGGTACTGATAATTCGGGTTGCGTTAGGGATGCGCTTGAGTTGGGATTAGTGAATATCGAAATTCGACCCAACCAAATTTTATTTTTGACTATGTAGCTTATTGAATGATTTTTAAGACTGGTTTTATAAAATTAATGCTGCTTTGTCCTAGTACCAAATTATAACTAAAATAATATATTCCAGAGGAAAGTTTCGAATCGATCTTTGATTTGAAATAATGATATTATCCAACATGCGCTACATCACTAGCGGTCACGCAGTTATGACTCTGGCGTGTGAGGACATTCTTTTTTCAGAGTTTATTTCTTTCTTTTTAACGTAAAATTTCTCAATATTTATAATGCAATTTAATTAGTTTTATGGAAATTAATAAATTTTGGACCTTCTATTTTACAGGTATATAAATAAATAGGCATTAAAGTAATGTTTAAATAGTTTATTTCGTGTTTTAATGTACCGCTGTTTTTGTCACATATTTGTGTCGTTGGCGCTCAGGGACAGTTTTCGCTTGTCACGTATTTGTGACCCTGGCGCTCAAAAGGTTAAGCATTTCGGTATAATTGAATAAAATATTCGTAACCAGTTAAAAGTGTGACTGAAAGAGTTAATGCCTATAGTTCACTAAAGATGTGTTGTGTTCTTTCTACCTCATTAAACGTAATATTATTTATTCAATAAAAAGCAATACCATTTAAATAATTTTGTATGTGGTAATATTATGAGACACCTTCTACAACAGTCAAAACTTAACTTTTCTAAAATTCCAGATACTTCCTACGCTGGACGGAAAGTCGTCGCATAGTCCGAGCGATGAAAAAGCATCGTTCACAAATGGTATGGTTCCGGTATCTCTACGTGTTTTTCTCAAGATACATGATCATAAACACGTTACGGAGAATCAGTCTCGCTGACATAGAGCTTGAATTGGAAGTCGATGATTAAGTACAAAGACTAAGCGAAAATAAAACAATAAGGTATGTTCTGTTAGATAATTATATGCGGACATAGGAAGCTAGATTTTATAACATTTTTATAATGTTCCAATGTCTAGAGTCTAGATGATGAGTGTGGCCAATTAATTGTGTTCTCTAATTGTTTTTATGGGGCCCTGGAATATGGATAGCGGCCGAAATTAACCGATCTCAATACAAAATCTGTAGATCAAAATGACTTTATATATATTTTATTTTATTTATTTGGGAAAAATAACAATTATCTATATAAATAAAAATGAATTTCCGTTCGTTAGTCTCGCTAAAAGTCAAAAAAGGCTTCACAGATTTGGCAAAAATAGGTCTTGTTATTTATGTGTGGTAGTATTTGTTAGTAGTTTATGTTTGTGGAAGTCCAAGGATGGTTTAAAAGGGGAAAAAGAAAGAGTTAGGACTAGGAGGTACGAAGTTTGCCGGAATTAACTAGTACATTATAAAATACATTTTTGATATCAATTGTCTGTCCGTTAAAATTAAAAATCGATCCAGAGATTTTGGATTGCCTAAGGTCGGTTATTCATTTCGGTCGTTGATTGGGAAGAATGTAAAAACGTAGTTTCTTTCAGACGGGAGACAGACAGGCGTCGTTATGTATGTATGTATGTATGTAGTTTTTATTGACTAGAGTAATACAATAAAGTTTTGGATACAACTTTTGTGAGCAAAAAATTAAGACAAATAGAGGGAAATTTTTTAACAAAACTAATTGTTCTAGATACTAAAGTTATTTTCAAAGAGATTATTGACTAGTAAGCTTACAAATTCACTTTATCCCAGTAGATTTAGGGTATGCTTTTGCATGCACATTCCGAAACTTCCATATAATTTTTTATTTTTTTTATGTCATGTCACGACCTAGTTTTCAATTTAAAATATGTTTGGTACGGTTGACGGTCGTCGAAGGAATGGTCACCCTGGAAGACGCCTTGTCGCACGAAATCGCATCGCTGCAATTTGCATCGTAATTTTTGCGTTGCGAATTCGCATCGCATCGTAGTTTTGTGTACGAGCACTATAACAGAAACTCCACACAGAGTTTTAATTGAGATTGGTTATTAATGAGGCAGAATGAGAACTGATCATAATGTCAATTTATTTATTATTTCTCTATGTAATGCAAAGTTAAAAATTGCAACCTGAGACTTTCTAAAGACAATAGCTGATAGCTATCACAGTGTCTAAATGAAGTGTTCTGTATAGTGTGTAGAGTTAAATGACAAGTTTAGAGTAACGAATTTGTTGTAGAGACTGGACATGTAATGGAAGAGGAGGAAAAGAATGCTTTAGATCATTGAGATCTCCAAATCTCATAAAATGAAAACAAATCCTTTTTATTGTTTGTAAAACTGTAACTCTGTTTTGTCAAGCCCCGTGTGCTACTGGGCTGGCCGCGGCAGGCCCGACATTGAAAACTACAAAATACGGTCGTTTTCTATCATACATCTTCAACTTTATTCTTTTGTAACAAGGTTGATAATCTAACAGAATTTCTGACTTAGCAACCATATACAGAAAGAAATATTTTGAATCAGGAATCTGAACAATTCAGTTCATGTATGCATTGCAGAGCCATTCAATCACGAGAGTTATTTAAATATGTTATAGGTACCTACTTCAGAACAAAATGAAAAATGTGGACCGAGCACGCACAGTCGCGGGTAGCCGTTGAATTTTTATTATTTATTTATTACTAGCTGACCGGGCAAACTTCGTAACGACTATAAATATCTTTCTCACCATCCCCGAATATTTCAAAACCAAAATTAGCCAAATCGGTTCAGCCGTTTTCGAGTTTTAGCGAGACTAACAAACGGAAATTCATTTTTATTTAAGTACTAGCTTTTACCCGCGGCTTCGCTCGCGTCACCAAAGAATAAAAAGTAGGCTATGTGACATATACCAATGCACACAGCGCCATCTATACCAATACTTTTGTTTTTCCTCGGGAATATCAAATTCTTCAGGGATCAAAAGTACCCTATTATTTAATCCGGACTTCTAACTTTATGTCTGCAAAAAATCAAAGCAATCGGTTTAGTAGTTACGGCGTGAAAGTGGAACAAACAAACAAACAAACAAACTCACTTTCCGATTTATAATATAAGTAAGGAAGTAAGGACTAGCTGACCGGACAAACTTCGTAACGTTTATAATTTTTTTTTCTCACCTTTTAAACCTTCCCTGGAACCTCCTCTTCTTCCAAGAACATTTCAAGACCAAAATTAGCCAAATAGGTTTAGCCGTTCTCGAGTTTTAGCGAGACTAACGAACGGGAATTAATTTTTATTTATATAGATTTTTAAAAGTAATGTTTGACTTGGCGAAGACTCATTGTATTCATGGGATCATAATACTGATCTCGATAAAAGCTCCTAAAATGAGATTGAGTCAAATTATTATGTAAATTGTAACGAGTCTCAATAATGATTACAACAGGCATTGGTCGCTAAGTCAGATTCTTTTTATATGAATTTTTAACAGTCGCCGCGTCACGGGTGGCGGAATGCTGCTCATGAATATGAGCCTCTAGCATGGCTTGAAACCGAGTTCATCAACATAATAATGAGTTTTTAACTTTATTACAAAAGCATAAAGTTGTTATTGTATGAAAAAAGTCTCGTTATTTCGTGATTTATTTCCTTTTCGTCGTCATAACTCATAAGCCGGTAAACGAGCAGACGGATCACCTGATGGTAAGCAATCGGCGTCGCCCATGGACACCTGGAACAACAGGGGCGTTACAAGTGCGTTACCGGCTTTTTGGGGATTAGGAGTTTGAGGATCGTTGGGATGTCGTTTGAGGATTGTCGAGAGTGCCAGCACAGAGATCGGAATGAGGACTGCTGTTTATTTACTTACCAGACGGCAATAATGCAGTTTCATTTGTCTATTGACTGCTAAAGTTAAGATTATTAAGGCTGTGCGGTACGTTAGGAGGGCGCCCGCGTTTCGTACTATTTCATGCAATTCCATAGATCAGCGCTGCATACACCGGGTCGCCCGTCGCACGCTGATTTATGAGATGCCCGCGCCGTGCGCACGCCTAACCTGTATGTGCCGCCGTGTGTAGTGCAGTTTCCTAAAGTATGGGTCCTTAGCTAATTTTTAGTCGGTCTGGTCTATAGAAGACACACTAACCAATCATTCTGTATTTTACTTGTCAATGACGAAAACGGAATAGATTTCACGGTGTATTATCCTATCCAACTTCCACCTATAATATCATAATACATTAAGTGTGGGAGAGCCATGCTTCGGCACGAATGGGCCGGCTCGACCGGAGTGATACCACGACCTCACAGAAAACCGACGTGAAGCAACGTTTGCGTTCTGTTTCGTCGTGTGAATGAGGTTACCGGAGGCCCAATTACCTTCCCCTTCCCCAATCCCTGAATCCCCAACGATCCTCAAACTCCTAATCCCCAAAAAGCCGGTGACACACTTGTAACGCCTCTGGTGTTCCAGGTGTCCATGGGCGACGCCGATTGCTTACCATCAGGTGATCCGTCTGCTCGTTTACCGGCTTATGCCGTAAAAAATAATATCATGGTCACGGTTTTATTTCCTCAAAGCGGGTTCTGAGTTTGGTTACTTTTTTTAGATAGATCGTAGCCCAAACAACTTTGAGAACCACTGGTCTAGTGGTTTGACACCTCTATTGCATGGACTGGACCTCCCGCTTCACTAGTGACATCTAGTGAGCAATAGAATAAATAGTCTTTATTGTCCGCTAGTCTGTTATTTAGTATAGGTATTATTATATAAGGTGAACCTTGCTGTTGACGCTTCTGAGATGAATTTATTTAAACAAATTATCTATGTATATGTATTACTTATGTAAATAATGTAATGGTGGTTGTTAACTTAGTATGTGTTCATAATTACGTGATTATTTGTACAAGAAAGAAAAGATATATGAAATATGTAGAAACAAGTAAGAAAGCTGACTGTCTCGTTGGCCGAGTGGTCGCAAGTGCGACTGCTCGGCAAGGGATATCGGGTTCGATTTCCAGTCGGGCAAAGTATAACTGAGTTTTTATAAAAAATCTCAGTAGTAGTATGGTGTCTGGAATTGTGCCCGGTATATGGCAATAGGCTCACCCCCTATTACATGGGACTCATAACAGAAGTGGGTGTTACGTTGTAAAGTAGCGTAAGTGCCGAAATTTCATTTCGTTCAGGGATAAAAGCCGTGATGTTATGTTATATTAAGAAAAAAAGCAAGGAGTGCAGTAAAAGGTCTCAGAATCAATTCTCGGCTAAGTGAAAGACCTCTAAACACATGTTAAGTTAGCAATCATACTACAGTTCTTACATACACAACTGTCATAAGCAGAGGTGTAATGTTTTTAAATATTTTAATATTTTGTAAGTTTTTATAAATTTCAACTGCGCAGCTATGTGTTAGCGTGGATATTATGTATGTATGTATGTCAAAAGTATTTCAACCCTGTGATATTAAGTTCTTTTGTTCAAAAATTGGCTTTTTTATAAATTTCATATTTATTTTTGAGTTTAAATAAATGATAAACTTGATCAATTGAAGTTTTTTTTTCTCAGTATTGGTTTGGAGTTTATTGTGCCTATGTGTATGGTATCAGGCTAGCCCTTATTGCATGGGACTCATAACATAACTGATGAAGATAAGTTTTACATAGTTTATGTAGACTTCTACTTATCACTTCAGGGACTAGACGGCTCGATAGCGTTTTCTTGATCTTGAGTAATTCGATATTATTTGCTCTAACCAAAACAAATACATATACTCTAGAGTAAATAGAAACAATGTATTCTAACTGCTTCAATCAGGTTTATATTCCTAATAGTGAGCTGGATAATTGTGGTTTTTGTGTAATAAAGATATTGTTTGCTAGATGCAAGTATCGACCATTATCCAGTATTGTGATCTAAACACTACAAGTAAAACAGAAACAAGTCACAACCGATTAAATTATTTTATTTGTGTTGGCCTCAAAATATTCATAGTACATTTTACAACAAATGTTATTTCATTACATTATACTTATCAATGCAAGAACTTTCAAACTTTAAATAGCTAAACATTTAAAAATTGACAATTTTAGCGACTATAGATAACTATGCATCGATGAAATTTCATAAACTACTAGTGTGGAGAGAGTTACAAGCTTAAACAATTTACAGTACATGCACCGGGACCTGCGAGGTAAAATAAAATAAAATCATTTGTGTACTTAACTTTATTTGGTAACTGCAACAAATAAGCTTTAACAACATCCAAGCGAAGCTTCTATATTACAGGAGCCGGTCACTGGCGACGACTGCCCGCCCGGAGTCAGGACTGGAAGCACTAGGCGACGCTACAAGCGGGTGGCCACATTACTAACGCTACAAATAAAAACGACTACTCGCAAATATATTATCACGCTGTATTTGATGTAAAACTTATTACAACATAAGTAAAAAAAACTTAATTAAAAAAGGAAGTGCAGTAAGAAAGAAATCGGCCGTCCACAGCGGCCGGGCGGGCTCAGTGGCCGCCAGACAGCCCTGGCTACAGGAACATCATCCAAGATCCACGAAATAATTTCAAATTGTACTGATTCAATAGTTACACGTCCACTGTTCATACGTCGCGTGAACACAAGAGAGCGAACAAAGATTAAGTAGCAAACGATAGCAACGTCACCGTCGGTACAAACTGGAATGTCACACAATTCATAAAAATACTGATTTGTTAAACAACAAAAACTTACTCATACAAAATATAATGAAAATTCACTAGCCGAGGATGTTGCAACCTGAACCCACCCCAATAAATAAGTTAACAAGGTTACCATAATATAAAATAATCCCAGACCGCACCTTAGCTTACATTCACCTTGCAACACCCTCCCTCACCACTACCGGAGGCCTGCGTTATATATATATATGTATATATGTAATTATACAACAATTTATAGTGTGCCGGTACTATAGCGCAGAATGAACCACTTTATAACATAAATACACAACAGACGAGCGACGAGCGCGTAACAGAACAATAAATATCTCTGGCCGCTGTTACACCGGTCTCGTTGCAATCTAGATGACGAATTCAATTACAATATTTATATATTTCTTTTTATTAATTATTTAATTAGGTAACGACAACACTACCTGTTAACCATTGACTACATCGACTTATTAGTTATTAAATATTATCTATACCATATTATATCATTTTTTCTAATGGTAATCTATGCCCTCGCTTGAACTGAGATCGCTGGTCAATGCGTGGCGGGTAAATCTCTACTGTCATACAATTCATTGATTTATTTAATTAAGCGTTAGATAGAGTGAGTCATACAATAATACGCCGCATTGTTACAACTGCCTGCAGTTGTGGAAGTGTTACCGCGAACAAATGTACTGGGACTGTACTCATGCATGTACTGTGTTCTAACACGTTCAACTTATTATATTCCAAAATATAAAAATACAAATGCAAACTATGTTACTTCATAGAAAACAATAAAATCTCAAAAATGCTACAACTCTACGTTCTGCGGCATTGTTGACGGTAACACTGCAATCTCGCGAGCTCGGGCAGACTGGGAGCTCTGCAGCTACGACACCACGCAATCAATACATTCTCGACTGAGCTACATTATACTATAATGGACAAAACATTATTGTTTTTGCGTGAAATAACCCCTTTAGTCAAACGCCTAACATTGATAATAAGTCTAATACCGAAATGAATTTATAATTCAAGTTATGTATGTGGGTAATGTTTCCCTACTCGTTGTCGGCCCTCATGCCGCGGACCTCGCCCTGCCGACGAAGTTTCTCGAGCTCCTCCTTGGTGCGGTCCTCGATGGCGCGGATGTCCGCCATGGTCATGCCGAACCAGTCGTCGATTGAGCAGAACACTTGTCTGTAAATTAAAGATATAATTATTTTAGTTAATATCATATTAGTATTGTTCCATTTTTAAAATTTAAAGTGCTCCTAAGCTAGGGGATATTTAACGACATTTTGGTTGAAAAGCAATCCATAATCGACACCTAAAGGTACAGATAAGAAGGGGTATTTAGATGTTCCCATACGCTAAATAACTCTAAGTAAAAAAATGATTTAGGAGTAGTTGGTGAAAGCGGCCATATGGCTACTAATATTAAGAACAAAAACTTATATCTCCAGAATGAATCCATTTTTATAATACATGGTAGAACAACACATAGGTATTCCCTTACTTTATTCTGTAAAAGGTAGCACAATATTAATCATTGCTAGAGATAATAGTCGTTAATCATTGCTAGCGATAATAGTCGTCTGTGTAGCTAACCTATCTTCATTATCATATTATCATATACATAAACAAAAATGATTAATAAAATTGCTATGCACAAAAATCTGCCGCGGAGGACTTAACGGGTTGCCGGGGCTCCGGCTCGAAGTGCAGGAGTAGGAACGGGGTGGTTTTTAGTCAGTAAGAGTCTGACACTCCCTCCCGCCTCACCCAGGCGGGAGCAGTCATTCGATGATTAACCCCCTTAAAAAAAACAGCACAAAAATCTGTTTCAATGAACCGATCCTACCAATTCTAATTTGCTATTACTAAAGTCTATGCTCCTTTATTATTACTTGCTTACTTTTGCAAAAGGAGAATTAGAAAGTTAGTCAAATTACTTATAACATACATATCGTCACACCGGTCTCCTATTGGTATTTTTTTTTAAGGGGAGAAAATCATCGAATGACTGCTCTCGCCTGGATGAGGCGGGAGGGAGTGTCAGACTCTTACTGACTAACAACCACCCCATTCCTTCTCCTGCACGTCGAGCCGGAGCCCCGGTTACCCGTTAGATTCTCCGCGACTCACGAGTCTCCTATTGGTATACGCAGAGACTGAGACACACCTCTTTCACTTCATATAGACTCATCAATCTCATCATGCTTGCTTGTAGGTGTACTCAATAGAAATTAATGAAATACAAATTCTCTTCTAATGTAAATAGCTTCTAATATAGTAACAGTACATAATACCACTGTATTTGATAAGGACACGTGGCCCGTAGCATTATCTCGCACATTAAAACGTTATCTATTATTGAGAGATAACGAACACGCCAAACAATTAATTATTACAATACTCTGATACATATCGACTAATATTCTATTGTAGAAATATGTACGAAGTGTACGATATGTAGGTACGAAGAAAATTGATATAGAAAAAGATAATGTTTAGAAATCTGTTATATATACATATGTAGTTATTTTGTATGTTATTTTCATCCCCGAAGGGGTAGGCAGAGGTGCACATTACGGCACTTAATGCCAGTATACAATGTAACACCCACTTTTCACTATTTATGTAATAGGGGGTGCGCCTATTGCCATATACCGGACACAATTCCAGACTCCGTGCTACTACTGAGATTTTTTTAAGAAACCCAATAATACTTTTCCCAACCCGGGAATCGAACCCTAGACCCTAAGCCCGGCAGTCGCACTTGCGACCACTCAGCTAACGAGACAGAATTTTTTTCTCTGTCTTATTTTTGCCAATAGGATTAGGAGTTTCAGGATCGTTGGGGATTCAGGGATTGGGGAGATTGGGGAAGGGGAGGGTATTGGGCCTCCGGTAACCTCACTCACACGAAAACACAACGCAAGCTTCACGTCGGTTTTCTGTGAGGTCGTGGTGTCACTCCGGCCGAGCCGGTCCATTCGTGCCGAAGCATGGCTCTCCCACACTTAAAAATATAGCAAAATGTAACATACCTATGGAATATGGTGAACAACCGCCGCTCCGACTTCTGGATCACGTTTTCTACTTTACTCTGAAAACAGATAATAATACATATTAGTATGTAACAATATGTAGAGAACCATATATTGAGCAGATTGGCGATATATTAAAGAAGGGCCAAATTAAAAGTACCCTTAACCGACGATAATGCATGAAAAGACTGATGACTGTTGATGAAGCGAAAGAGTATGCAAGAATCGTAGCAATTGGCGTTCCATAGTCTGTGTCTACCCCCATGAGAGACAGGCGTATGTATGTATGTAGAATTGTAGACAAATAATTCGTTAGTACAAATTTTTAAGTGCCTCCGGATTTGTGATTATTTTTGCAGTTAGCGGTTTACTGATCAAAAACTACACAAATTCAAAAATATAACTAAGGATTTTCGAAATTGTCTATAACACTATTCTCTCTCATAGGCACTCACTCATACATAGTATGAACTGATAACTTTGTCTGAAATAATAAGAATCACGTTTTGTCCGTATCTTCTTATAATAATGTTATTTCTGTCTAACCTGCAGGTCAACTAACAAAATTTAATCACCAATAATATAATTCTTTTTTAAACGTAGTTTAACTCTTTGAGTACCGTCATTATAGACATAATTGAAGAACAATAGGTTGCGGTGTCTGACAGTTTAATATATATTATATTTTCTAAGTGTAACAAACTCTTTTCTAACTGCATCAAAATCGGTTTGTTCAGCCAATCGCGACATAATTGCGTACAAACAGAGATACATATAGGTAAAACTGAGAACCTCTACTGCTGACACTACTTTTTGACACTGTATGAATAAATGTAGACCGTAATAATATTTAATAATACTTTTTTGACATCTTAATATGAATTGTAATTAATATAAATTGAATTTGTACGCCCCTAAGGGCAAAACATGTATTGGACACTGATTTTAAACAATTAACATCTTGCATGCTTTTGTATGAATGACACATGTTTATGCAAATAAATGATCTTTATCTTATCTTTATCTTTATCCTCTTTTTTACTTTTTGAAGACGGTCAAAAATAGGATCAAAATCATAGACCGACCTAAGACGCTGGTTATGAACTTATAACCTGGAATCTAGACTGGCCAAACAGTTCCGTCTAATATTTTCACTTCTATTTCGTGTGTGTTATAGACCTTTTATTTTAGACAGTAAATAAAACCAACCTGAAGTCCGAACCACTTGAACTCAGCAGTGACGAGCTTGTAGCATGTCATGACAGGTTTCACATCGTTCTTCCAGTTGGGGCCCACGAGGGGGCCGCGGCCCGTCTTGGTGGACTTGAATTTAGTGGGGTCCGTCTCTATCTTGTAGTCGGCGGACGACAGAGGGTCATTCGCGATGTCTATGTGGACCACTTCACGGTTCTTTAGCTTTTCAGGCGCTAGCTCGTGTACCTGGAAAGAGGAAATAGGACATAATATTAACTTGGTAAAATATTTATTATATTATCTGTACAATTACTCTCTGCCGTGGTTTTCCAGTGCCAGGCTACAACATGGGGTTCTTCAAGAAGGGAGTAAATAGGTTTTTCAGGCGTCGGCAAAGTAATGCCCCAAGTGTTGAAAGTGTACATAGGCCATGGTAACCGCTTACCATCAGGTGGGCCGTGTACTTTTTGCGTCACCGTCGTGGTAAAAAAAACTTAGGAATGAACGAGTCATGATAAAGAATAGACACAAAGTTACTAATATCGACGTCCAAAAAATTTAATGTCCTTTTGGTCTAATTGAAAAAGAAAAACTTGTCTTATATTTTGGACAATTTGAGGATGACCTATTCCTATTTTGACCTCACGCAAAACACCAATTACAAATGAAACAGTTTGACGTTGTAACCACACGCTTTTCCACTCAAAAGCCTCAAAAAAAAAAACAAAATACGACCTTACCATTATAAAAATAAAGTATAATTTTATAAAATTTTCATTACAAATGACCTTGTACTGGCTACGTCAGTAAGTAATGACGGTAGTAATCTCATTACTTGTGATTATAGCTAGCGTGTACAAAGTGTAATTACAGGTAATTTTACGCGACATCCCACCCAGGTGACTAGGGCTTGTGTTTATGTAAATGTTACTGTTTATCTAACGGATACTTTAAAGATAGAGGTAAATAAATAAAACATCATTACAAACTAGATTAAGACTTTATCTGTTGATCTAGGTCTAGTGGACGCAATATGTGAAACACAACGTTGGCCAAGACGTCGCAAGTGAGACTGCCGAGCAAGGGGTCTTGGATTCCCAGTGCCTTTAGCCAAACGCCACTTTGGCGATTGTCTACCGAGAGAGTAGAAAACTACAAGTAAACAAGCGTTAAATTGCATTTGGCTACAGATGCAGGTCGGGCAAAGTACTACTGGGCTTTTTAAAAAATCTCAGTAGTAGCACGGAGTTTGGAATTGTGCCCGGTATATGGCGATAGGCTCAACCCCTATTACATACGACTCATAACATAAATAGTGAAAAGCGGGTGTTATATTGTACAGCGGCATTATGTGCCGTAATGTACTCCTCTGCCTACATTACTTTTATCCCCGAAAGGTAACCCCTTCGGGGATAAAAGCCGTAATATTATGTTATATTCATCGAGTTTCCTTGCGCTAAGGAATGGAATTCCTTGGCGGCATCTGTGTTTCCTGAAAAATACAACTTGGGTGTCTTCAATACCCGAGTATTGCTCATAGGTCACATCATCGCTTACCACCAGGCGAGATGGTGGCTAAACGCCATCCTACTAAGCATAATAGATGTCATGGAACTCCTGGAGTTAGTTTAAATAGGGAAGGAATGCTACATTCATGTGTGCATTTTTTCTAACTCTTTCAGGGAAAATCTTGCAAAATTATGATAATGAATTTCTAAGTATTATTCAGCGCGGAAGTAAAATACGGTTTTTGTTAATGGAGTTATGTTATAGTTGATAGATAATCGATCAATGCAAACATTAATTTATAAGTAATCGATAAAACATTTGGAAAATCATTCGGGGACATCCCTTCTTATCAAAAAATATCAATATTCCATCCATCATTACAGAAATCTATGTTTACTTACAATCAGGAATGCCTCATACTAGGATTCCAGGTGCGTTACAACCCAACTATTTGACATACGCTTTACAGCAAGACCAACAATAACAATGTGTGGATCAAACAAGGTTATGTTCCAATCTGTATTACCTAGCTGATCAACATCGTGAGAAAAGTAACAACATCACGCCTTTTTATCCCCGAAGAGGTAGGCAGAGGTGCACATTATGGCACTTAATGCCACTGTACAATGTAACACCCACTTTTCACTATTTATGTTATGAGTCCCATGTAATAGGGGGTGAGCCTATTGCCATATACCGGGCACATTTCCAGACTCCGTGCTACCACTGAGATTTTTAAAAACCCAGTAATACTTTGCCCGACCCGGGAATCGAACCAGAGACCCCTTGCCCGGCAGTCGCACTTGCGACCATTCGGCCAACGAGTGCAGAGAGCAGTGTTTAGTATATCCTTTTCGCTTCTGTTTCAAAATGAAAGCGAGAGAGAGATACTAAATACTCGCTACTTGACTAAAATACTAGCATAGTGCGAACAAGGCATAAACAAGACTAGTGATTAATCGCCTATCTGTCTGCATTTGAAACACAATAGAAAACAGATTATATCTACGTTCCGGCATACCACGGCTTAATGCTCATTCCTTCTCCGTGTGAGAAGATGCTTTTGCACAGCAGTGGGGACTTATAGGCTGAGGATGGTGATGATGTATTATTTAGTTAAATTGAAGACAATTTTTATGTCTCTACAATGTACATAATATAGGTCCCTATTGTCAACTTCACCACTTGCCAAGGTTAGTCAAAATGTCACCCTTGAAATTGTTAACCTAGATTTTTTGTAGTCTATGTACTGTAAGTAATGGGTTTAAAACCACCTTGACATTCTCGCATACCACCATAAAATGTAGTACTTTGTACCCTTATCTCTTGTGGCAGTAATTTCTAGTGTTCGATCATAAAATTAATTATTAAACTAATAGAACAATTATTTTGTAATGTTTTATAGACAACTACTGCGACTGCCGGGCAAGGGGTCTCGGGTTTGATTCCCGGGTCGGACAAAATATTGCTGGGTTTTAAAAAAAATATCTTAGTAGTAGCATGGAGACTGCTACTACTAAGATATTTAATTTTGCCCGGTATATGGCAATAGGCTAACCCCCTATTACATCGTACTCATAACATAAATAGTGAAAAGTGGGTGTCACATTGTACAGTGGCATAATGTGCACCTCTGCCTACCCCTTCGGGGATAAAAGGCGTGATGTTATGTTATGCTATGTTATAGACAACTAGAATTTAGCCGAGGATTCGTACGCGTTAATCATACTAACCTTTCCTCTTAAACTGTCAAACACCGCGAGGACACCGGTGACCGCAACCTATTGTTCTTTAATTGTGTCTATAATGACGGTACTTAAAGGGTTAAATCACTCTATCCATAAAGAAAACTGCATCAAAATCCGTTGAGTAGTTTTAAATATCTACATTTGGAACCATATTTTAGTTCGAACACGCGCCGTGAACATCTGTGAAGCACTGAGATCGGGTAGTTTTAACTAAAGAATACCGATTTTTTTCATCAGATGTTTCAACGATTTTAAAGTTCTTGATTGTAAAGATGTTCTGTTTTATTGAATCGCACTCCTAAGCATACATATAGGGACAGACAGCGGAAACCAGCTTTGTTTTATACTATGCAGTGTTACATGAATTATCACTATAGTATAAAACGCTATCCACCGTCTCTTTGTCCCTATGTATGCTTAGATCCTTAAAACTACGCAACGGATTTTGATATTGTTTTTTTAAATAGATAGAGTGATTCTTAAAGAAGGTTTATGTATAATACCTACATGTATATTGCTCCCGTGTGAAGCCGGGTAGGGTAGACGACTAATTTTTATTTTAATGTCCGTCTGATAGATTATTTAAAAACATTAGACACGTATTTTTTATTTTCTCACAGAAACGAATAGTTTCGAAGATATATTGATTTGAAATGTCGCGTGACGTCACTTCTCAGTACATTTTATACTAAGAAATGACGTTTTAGCCCCCACTCCTAAACTTTGATTCGTTTTATCTAAGTATTGTTTTATTATACGACAAAATAAAAAAATACGTGTCTAATATTTTTTCATTACCTAACTTACGGACTAATTATATTTTTAATTTTCATACCCTGTCATCATCCCCATTCTATAGGTCTGAGAATGTAAAATGTTTTATAATATCATCACAACTAATATCAGATAGAATACCTAGACCACTGCATACCCTCAGTCAAATAAACAAGCCTTCACATTTACATCACATACAAAACACATAGAGACTACAAGATACTTTTTTACGTTGTCACATTTAAAACGTATGTAACTCAATGTCAAGGAAACCAGTAATGGTCGACCTTTGCACAGCACCTACTTAAGTAAACGACTGCCGACACTTGAACTTACTCAAGTTATAACTTACTAGCTTTTAACCGCGGCTTCGTCCGCGTCACAAAAGGATAAAAAATTGCCTATGTGACATATTGTATTGGTACACACAGCGCCATCTATATCAATATTTTTTAAAATTGCGCTGGTATTCTACTGGCCCCTTAAGTCACTCGCGGATGAATAAGTAGCCAGACCATAATCTACCTAAATTTCATCCCGATCCGTTCAGCAATTTTGGCGTGATTAAGTAACAAACATACACATAAATACACAAACTTTTGCATTTATAATATTAGTAGGATGGTAGGCAGAGGTGTACAAGTTATTGTATTATGGAGGCTCATGTAATAGAAGAGCATAGTGCCAAACTTCAAAATCCATGATCTATTCCATTAGCTACAGGGAACTTTCCGAAATATCGAAGAACCGAATATCACTTTGTCCGATTCAGGATTCGAACCAGCGACCTCTTTTTTTTGAGGGGATAAAATCATCCAATTAATTACTCCCGCTTTTGGTTAGGTGGGAGGGAGTGTCAAACTCTTACTGACTACAAACCACCCCGTTCCTACTCCTGCTCATCGAAGCCCCGGCAACCTTTTAGACCTTCCGCGGCTAACCAGCGACCTCTAGCAATTACACTTTTTTTTTTTAAGGGGGGAAATCATCGAATGACTGCTCCCGCTTGGTTGGGGCCGAAGGGAGTGTCAGACTCTTACTGACTGAAAACCACCCCGTTCCTTCTCCTGCACGTCGAGCCGGAGCCCCGGTTACCCGTTAGGTTCTCCGCGACATTAGGTTAGGTTAGATTACACTAGCAACCACTCGATCGAAGTGGCAGTCGTTTACTTTGTTTAATGGCCGATATTAAACTGTCAAACACCGCGAAGACACCGGTGACCGCAACCTATTGTTCTTTAATTGTCTATAATGACGGTATCCAATCTAAATTCTAAATCTGTGTATATAGAATTCATTTTTGACATTAGTTGTACAAAATTTACAAGCCGAATTAAAATGTTCGATGAACTCTAGCTTTGACTGAGTGTTGTCAGTCAGTCAGTCAGTCATCAGTAATGTATCTGTACATAAGTACATAATTATACATATGTACTTATATTGATTAGCAACTTGAATTTTGGTTAATATTACGTCGTCGTCGAGTATTTGTTTCCTATTTATACACAACTTACATCAGATCACGCCATTAGTTAAAACAAATGTTTGTTTATATCTGTTTGACTGTAACTAACTTGTTTTTCCGAGATATATACGAATTTTGTTTTCAGTGAGGTGTTAATAGGGAAGGCATATTGAGATTTGTTCTGTTTTAAAATAAAGATCAATTTCATAACAATTTTTTGTAGAAAGACAATGCTTTTTTGATGTCAGAAGAATAACTAGTCAGTGTTTTTTTTTACACTTGATAGGTTGACGTTAGGCCACCATCTCGCCTGGTGGTAAGCGATGATGTGGCCGACGATGGAGCACTCCTACCTATGAGCAACCTGTTCACTCGGGACTTGAAGACACCCAAGTTATACTTGTCGGGAAGCACAGATTCCGGCAAGGAATTCAATTGCGAAACGATTCGTGTGAATAGGTGGAATGTCCACCATATAAGGGTGAGATTATTACCTCATTAAAACAACCTCAGAGGCCGCCATTAGTACCTTTATCATGGTACTAGATTTTGATATGTTTTTTTAATAAATAAAGTGATTGAAGAGGAAACTTTAAACGCATAATTTCGAATTAAACGCGTGCAAAGCCGAGAGCAAAGGTCAGTTAACTTATAACTGGTTGTTACCACTTACATTGTACTGGTCGCCGGCGTCTGGTAAATGCAATGATTCTATGCAAATAACGAAGTTCTCCTTCATGTAGCCGGGATTCTGGAATTAAGTAAGACAATCATTAAAACTTCTAATAATAAGAATTTGAATATTTTTGTGGAATCAAAAAGGAGAAAGTATTTAATGTTAATTAAATAAACAAGTCACTTATCGCCGATCTGGTAACTATATATTTTTTAAAGAAACGTTACCCCATGCTATTATTTTCTCCTGTTTGTAATCGCAACCACGTGCGATTACAAACGTACAATTTCGCATACACATGACACCCAGACCCGGAACAACAATTTGATCACACAAACAGTTGTTCCGTGTGGGAATGGAACACCAGTACACAGCTATAGGGAGAGGTGCAAGTTCATCAGTGGACCTTCAGAGCCTGAAGCTGATGAAGACGATGAAGTAACCAGGTGTATCATGAACCATCAGCAGATCCAGCATAATCCCATGAATCCACCAGATAAATAAATATAAATTATTATTATTAACCCTATCATATGTGATGTTCGAAGAGATTTCATCTTTATTCCAATGTGTATACGGATAATTTTGGCATTGCCGTTTGTTTTTGATTACAACTATTAGTAGCAGATAAGATATTGCTATCATTTGTTAAATAAATACGAGGATTTATTGGCAGCGGAGTTTTCAAAGGTGTATTTATTGGTGGTTGAGAGTAGAGTAATAAATTGAATGCATTTGTCTACACTCACACTAAAATACTCAAACACTACTCAATTTGACGTAGCGCTTGAGTATAGTTCTGTCAATACAAATTCTTTGTGAAATGACGGAGATCGCACGATATTTATGTACAACTTAAAATGGAGTAGCCTTTCAGTATTCAGAGACCAGGGTGCCTACTCTTGAAACCAATCTCAATATCAATGCATTTTCAATCCAATAAAATCCCAATAATTATTCAATGTCAAAGCTACACAACCCCTTTTCGTTGCTGTTTAAATAGCATTCAGAATACGGAATAAAAAGCTAAACTCAATACAATTTAGTTCATTAAATATCTATGCAATATGGATGCAATAGGCGCTAGTGTTGAAACTCTACGAAATTTCACAATACCAATGACGATCGATCGGAATTGGATTTAAGAGTAAGCTCCTGGAGCCCTGATAAACTTAAACCTTTCAACCTGCGATCCTCAACACGTCTATGGATATTTCGGCAAACCCCTTTGTATAGTATAGGATTTGCAAATCCCACAATGTATTGCAGTTTTGTCTGACTCAGATATTGAAATTTCGACACGTTGGGTAAGTACGCCAGTTGGCAAACCACTGCGCCAACCATAACCATATCTAAATTCAATAAAATCCATCATTAACTAAAAATCGCGGGTTACTCACGTGAATATACTGAGAAAAGCTCTACTAGTTTCGAACCACAGAGGGGTTCTTCCTTATGAGCAGCGTGCGCGGTCACGGCGAAGTCGCGCAGCCTACTAACCCGCGATTTTAGTTAATTTAGTATGTCTCACAATAGTTATTATAAAAATCCATCATATTTCACAGCTGACTCTCATAACTGTTTGATAAGGTAACTCGACATATTTCAAGCTCGCTGGGGGCTCATAAAATGTTAAGGTACAAATCTTACCGTAAGCACAGTTCGGCAGTATGGGTACGCGTTCCACGCTTCTTCGTGCACCTCCAATGAGCCTTTGGGCGCCAGCAGCCTGATGAAGGCGGGCACCTTCGAGGCCAAGTGGTAGATCTTGTATGTGTACTGCCCCGACGAGAACTTTCCACCTGCATCATCATCATTATAAGTTAGTTAAAGTATGTAATATAACTCGTCGAGTACCGTATTTATAGACATAATTAAAGAACAATAGGTTGCGGTCACCGGTGACCGCTTGGTGTTTGACAGTTTAAAAACGGAAATTTTGGTTTTTTCGATGTGTTTCAGGATTTAGTACAAATAAATTACTTGACTTGTATTTTGAATAGAAAAAAGGTATTTGAAATGAAAGCTTATTTATTATTTATGTGAAGCTATTAAATTCGAACGGGAAAACGAACAATAAATACCATAGTTATTCTCTTTCAGTTAAAATAGGACAGTTTTTCATAAACATTTGCCTGTAGTAATACAAGTAAATTAGTAATACATTAACGTCGTCACGTAGATAAAAGAACGCTCTAAAAACCACGTCTCACATAATTATATATCTTTCATTTTAATCTATTCACAAATAATAAGTTTCTAAGTTGGTCATATAAACTGGTCGACTAAAATCGTTTAAAGCGCCCTCTAGGGTGCTGAAACTTTGAAATCACCATATTCTTATTTCAACGTTATTTCGACTCGCACTTGACCGCCTTTTTGTAGTGGCAAGCACTGACAAGTCTACCTTAATTGAATTGTAGCATCGATGCCCGATGCCTAGTGCACCGGAACGTTCTATCGAATGGGTATCGAACTATCGACATCGCTACTAATTGGACGATCCCCATCGACACCGCAAGCGTTCCAGAATCTATATCATCTATTTTTGCTCCCCAAAGAGTTAGGCGTGTAGGTATTTAGCAAGTTTTAAGTCCCATGTTATAGAGAGAGGTCTATTGGTGACAATATAATGTAAACACCACGCAATAGGGTAGTTACCTAAATTAGATTTCAATGTCCGTCTGGTAGTTTAATTTAAAATAGACACGTATTTTTTGGTTTCTCACAAAATTAAATACTTTCAACGGTATATTGAAATATCGTCTGACGTCACAAAATGTAGCAAGTCGTGACGTAACTAACGATCTCCAAAAATCTAAAAATTGTAACTATACAAGAAAAAAAGTCTCTAATTTGTTTTCATTACCATCCTACGTTCTAATTAGATTTTTAATTTTCTTACTTTGCAAACTACCCTATTGATATTTGACTACCGTGTTCTGCAAAGCCGTTTTATCACAATAATCAAGACGGTCTATTTGTGCCAAAGCATGGCTCTATTAGACGTAAAATTGTTAATATTTTTTTATCCAAACCATCATATTACTTTACTCAAAACTTACAACCAACGAAACAGTAATGAATAAACATAAAATATTGTATAAAATATAACCTTCACTTTTATATTTTTTTCAATAGGTGTCAAAAGGAGTAGAATAATTTCTTCATCATTTATCTTATTTAAATACGACCCTTCTGTTAAAATCGTCTTTCCATAAGTAGTTTTTTCCTTTTTTTGTTTCTAACCTCATCACCGTCGCCAACGTCATCATTGTGTCATTATAACTTATTACTTGTTATTCTAAAAATAATATCATCGTCATCTCTTTCCCTTAGTCATAAGAGTTCAAGAGCTCTAACAAACTGCTATACCTTTTCTAACTACCTACTTTAGTTTTTAATCTCCTTTCTTTGTGCTCTATATCTGCCAAAACCCAATTTCAAGTGGGTGAGAAATAGCATGTCTGACCTAGAATTGAAGTTAGGCATTACCAAAGTTGCTAAAAAATAAATCCACTTAGTCTGCTACTTAAAAATTATAATACTCTTAAAACGTCGAACTAATTTGTTAAAATTAAATAACATATTGATAACAGTACCTAGTAGAGGTCAGTAAGTATCCTCAGAGTCTCGTAAATCACAGTTTTTCGCCAAAAACACAAAAAGAAATCATCACTAAAAATTTCGCACATTAACTACAAAAAATAGCAATACCTACTTCTTTACTGAATTAAAAAAAAACATCGAAACAAACCATAGAGGTTTAAATCTTTTAAAAACCTATAAAAAATTTCGTTATGTCGTCATCCCCTTCTGATCCGTTTAATCTCTTTCACCAAAAGACAAATGAAGTATTTTTAAAAGCCAATGCAGTTGAGGTCACGAGTTTTTGACCCTGAAGTAAAATTGAAACGTCGAATGCTATGACGTCATTCTTATGTCATCGCCAGACCTCTCGTGTTTATTTAGACACGTTCAAATTTGCCGAAAGGGAGTTAAGATTTTTAGAAAGATCATTTAGAGCAATAAAAGGAATGATCTAAAGGGATGGAAATATTTCGGTGTTGCTGTGAACCGTAAGGGTTGTTGGGGCTCCTGCTCGAAGCAGGATTAGGAACGGGTTGGTTTTTACCATTCTTGCGTCATCAATAATCATCTATCAGATAATGGATATTGCCACGCTTCATAGATAGGTTTACATAATAAGTAAGAACTTGATGCATGCGAAACCCAACCACAGCTTTAAGTATCCAAAAATTAAAGTTGCTTTACAGTTGCAAATTTGCCATAAAAATCAAGATTCTCTCCTACAAAACATTAGTTACACATTTATTGTCTTTCGACGTTTTTATAAACTGTGCACAACACCCATGCTTTACGTGGGACATCTGTGTAAACTGTCGTATGACGTCACAGCTCGCAACAATAAACAATATTTGTTCACTATACATGGAAACAAAGGATCAATTTCTATGATCCGTCTTCAAGTTACTTTGTCGACCTAATGGAGCATAGTCTAAAATAAGTGTTACTATTGAGGTATTCAAAATTAGAAATACTTCAGTCGGTCGGAAATTTCGGCCTACCATCGTCATCAACAGTGATTAGTGGTAACAGTTGGTGTCAGTTTATTACTGGACTATGGGTTATGGGCCTCTTATACATAAAAGGGCTTTCTCCCCATTTTGGCAGCCAAGTTGGATAACGCAGTTTGATTGCCGACTTTAACAACCAATGTTAATCCTAAAATTGTGAATCGATTTAAATTTTTGACAGAACGTCTATCGCACTCATCCCTGAATCACCGAAAATCATAAAATTCCTAATCCTATAGAGCCTATAGAGTCCGGCAACGCACTTATAACGGCTCTGGTGTTCCAGGTGTCTATGGGCAACGCCGATTGCTTACTATTAGGTGATCCGTCTGCTAGTCTACCAGCTCATCCCATAAAAAAGTCAAATGTAGAACTTAATCTAAAGATTTCGTATTGAGATCGTGTATCAAAGAGCGCTGCCAGAAAGCAGTCTCAATTTTTTTTATCATTAATCGACTGCCGGGCAAGGTGTCTCGGGTTCGATTCCAGGGTCGGGCGAAGTATTACTGGGTTTTTAAAAATTCTTAGTAGTAGCACGGAGTCTGGAATTGTGCCTGGAGGCTCTCACCCCCTATTACATGGGACTCATAACATAAATAGTGAAAAGTGGGTGTTACATTGTACAGTGGCATAATGTTCACCTCTGTCTACCCGTTCGGGGATAAAAGGCGTGATGTTATGTTATGTCATTAATCCCTTGGGTATTCATCAGACCATCTGTTACATACATACATACAAACAACGCAATGCGCTTACATTATCTCATAGATAAAATAATATTTGGACTATATTCTAAGCTGGGTATACGCCTAGGCAAATATTTAAATGTGTCTAGATAAAATGGGAGCTCGAATCATGACTATATAGTTCTAAAATAATAGATACTGCCACGATAGCAAAAAAGGTAGACTGCTTAGAGATTTTTCAGAATCGATTACCGATTCAACATCGATATTGTCGTTCGTAACTGAGATTGATGACTGCCTGGCAATAAGTATCATCAAGTAAATAATGATCAAACACGTCTGTTTGTTTGTAGCAAATTTTAATATGCTCTGGAACTGCTAAACCGATTTTGGATTCCATTTTGGATCCTGATTTATCCGAATATTCTTCTAAGATCTGAATTCGGGACTATTTGGATTCTACCGGAAAGACATCTATCAAATACCTTATGAGAAACATAAGCCTCTTTTGAACGTAGTCGGGTAAATATGGAAATTAAACAACATCACATAAATTCAGTTTTGAGTGTGTACAAGAAAAGCATTACTGTCTGAAGATTTCAAGTAAATGATGATTTATATCTACGATGTGCTGTAAGTCTGAATAATTCATCATTAATAATATTTATTGGACATTTTATAAGCATCATAACAGTATATCATTATCTATTGATGATTTTCGTGTGTGTAGAGTTAGCAGAGAACTCCTTGGGAGAGTTCCAGGTAAGGGGTTAGTTTATTTAGATGCTTTCTCACGGTAAGCAACTCTTAGTTGAGAGTTACTTGTCGTAGGTTGGTGAAAACAGAACTCCTAAGTTTCAATAATCGGGCATAGTAAAGTAATTATCACCTTTTAACACAAGATGCGATAGACAGAGGTTTCCACAATTACTTATTATGAAACCGATTTTTCACCAGCTTTGTTATGGCGCCCTATTAGGGAGCGATCCTATTGCCGATTCCAGACGACTTCGTGCTACTACAGATAAGTAAAAATTAACGACGATTTCATGACATCAATTTGTGATTCACTTTTGCAAACACGAGTGCTCAATTTGGGGATCTTAATTTAATAATTATTAATTTACGTAAACAAATGTCCTTTCAGAAGGTCGAACGACTTTAATGCCAATGTCAAAATAATTATAAAAATTGAATTAAGACGTCGACGAAAGTGCGTCCATTTGAGTTTATCTTTCTTTCACGTTGAGATTTCATGGCGTCATTTTATCTGAAGGTACATACATAGTTAAAGGGTACTTTTTTTCACCATATACAGGCAAAACCGTTAACCATGACGCTAGTAAATATAAAAATAATCAAAGATTAGCCATACTCATATCTAGATTACATTACACCTAGCTACATAAAGATAGTTTCAACTACAATCATACAACATAATACCGTTGTGACAATAACCGTAATTGGACCAAACTATGTTAATCCAGTGGGTGCATATTTATAAAATCAGGTATCAAAACATTGATGACTGTTGATGAAGCGAAAGAGGTATGTAGAAATCGTAGCAATTAGCGTTCTTTGCCTACCTCCACGGGAGACAGGCGAGAAGTTAAGGTCACAACTAGGGCCTTAAGCAGGCTACTTATCTTACGAGGATAGTGACTTTTATCAAGAGGAATAACTATGAATATTTGGCAATTCTTTCATACTAAAAAGTATCTGTTGATTGAGAAAACGGCCCTTAGTTTGTAAAATGGTATAACAGTGATTCAAAATTTTGTTTGTTGGATTTTGAAAAATCCTCAATTATGAAATCAATGTTATAGAATAAATTATAAGCAGGGCCCTAAACTATGGTCACTATCCGATTGCAAATAATCAGTTTTCTGTACGGCCCGGATCCGCCACACGCTTGTGATGCCAGCGATATTTTTTATCGGATCAGGCAAACAAGCAGGCCGATCATATCACCTGATGGTAAGCAATCGGTGTTGCCCGTGGACACCCGCACAGCAACACCAGTTATTACTCCGGTTGAGCTTCTCCATTCTTATTGAAGCATCGCTCTCCCACGTGAACCACATAAATGTTGATAAAAATTTGTATGTGGGACCTATAGGTTTTTGTGGCTTGTGAACGGAACTACTACAACCACGGTTATAAATCAGTCTGGGAGCGATAAACGCAAAAACAACGCTTTATGCGGTTTCCATCAGTATTACATAGTTTTTGAAGGATGTTTTAAATCATCATCATCATCAACAGCTTATAAATGCCCACTGCTGAGCAAAGCCTCTTCTCACACGGAGAAGGTTTGAGCATTAATCACCACACTTGCTCAATGCGGGTTGGCGATTACCAATTTATAATTAGAAATTATAAGCACAGGTTTCCTCACGATGTTTTCCTTCACATTTTGTCAGTGGTGTCTAGATAATCTTAGAAAGTACATAATATAATTCGGAAAAAGTCACATTGGTACTTGCCGTTGGTAGGTTTCGAACCTGTACCCTCATGCATGAGAAGCGGGCGTCTTAAACCTCCGGGCCACCACGACATCATGTTTTAAATGAGTATCTTATTTCACGTCGCTTCATTTTGTTAGTTTAAAACCAATACCACGATTGCTCCTCTATAATGTAATCCAATGCATTCGCGAATCACGTAATAACTCTGAAACAGTTTTTCTATCTATTTTTGTTCTAATGTTAATACAATATGCACCCACGCTGTATACAGAACCAGAGTATGAATAAAACAAGCTAAAGAACGCGTCTCTATAAAGACGGTACAAGAATTAAATTACTGTGTAATACACTAGCTGAACTGAACCTAGGCAGAAAGAATGAGCATATACCTAGCTACACAAGTCTAAAACTAAAGAAAAGATAACATTTGGCAAAAGTGAACACTTCTAAAAATGCGTTCTTGCGTTGGCTTTTCTTTCAATTTCTCCATCCAATCACACGAAACCCAAGACAACTATGTGCAACACAAAGAGTTGTTGTTTAGGGGAAGGAACTGCTGGTGATGAAGGTTCATTTTAATTTTAATGAAAAGCCAGCGCTCTACAGCTTGTATTCATACTCTAGGCGGAACATTGAAAGCATACTGGCTGCTTTGCAAGCCGGGCAGGTACCACATTCAGACGTCGACTCCGTCGACTTCGTTGCCAAAGACAATTCCTGGGAGATTTTTCTATTTTTGTCTAAAAATAAAGGGCATTCCAAATTAAAATAAATAAAAATGCAAAAATAATACAAAAAAGGTATGTTTTGCATTGCTAATGTCACAAGTGTGTAGGTCGAGACTAGATTGACGCAGTTATGTTTTACTGGCTAACTGAATAATACAAATTGATCTTTTAAATAGGATAGCAGAAGCCAGAAACTACTTAAGTAATAATCATGCTTATAATGCCAAAGCAACTTATCAGATAATACTAAAAACTCCTTATAGAATCTAAAGAAGCTTGCAGAAAGTGACGCGTGTAAAAATATTATCGATATCGATAAAACAAAAGACGTGTATCAACACAATAGAAGCGCATAAAACAATCGATAAACGCAATAATGTGGAACCATTAAGTTTTATTGCAATTCCAATGACGTCATCGTGTTCGATAGTTTAAAAACGTAGTGCGGCAGTGCCCTTTACATGGTTCGATGGTTGTACGCACATTCGGAACAATAATTATCTCGTATAAATCTAGCTTGTTATTGTTGTAGTGATGTAAAGCGTATATTTTGACGTGTCGCTTCTGACTCACGACAAACATGAGGAATGAGGATTCTATCAATAGTAAATGCGTTGATTTCAAACGTATCAAATGACGTAATTGCCACTATGGAGTAAATTATAGGTATTTGTGTTGACCAAGTCGTACATTTTACATACGATACGATTAATCAAGCAATCCGTTTGCTAGATTCATGGTTATACGTAATTTGTCGCGAGTTTTTTCTAGTGTTCATTTAATTTTAACAATTTATTTATTTAGTATCAGGCAGTATAGTTTACGACTACAAAATGATAAAACCTCGGACAATTCAAACTAGCTTGTTTGGACTTTATGCACATATTTTTGTTCTTTTTGCACTGAAAGAAACAAGGTGTACCTGTACCTACTAGTAACAGTACTTCTACTTGTTTCAACAATTGGAACTATTTTACACAATTTGAGTAGGTGTTTTGGCCGTGAATTTCAGACTATTTCGGTATTAACAACTTACGAGATGTATGTTTTATCAATTCGTTTAGAAACACTAGACTATTGTAAACAATTGGAAGTTTGAATTTATTATTTCCATAAGTATTTAGAGAAGAATATCTCTTATATTTCTTTAAATTACATAATTTATAATTAAAATTATAATAGCAGATAGTAGAAGAGGTTTTATGAAAAAAAAACATGGTCTTTTGTAATACTAATTAGGCAGTAAAAGAAACTGAAGTTGTTACTCCAATTTCAAGTCAAGGGCCTTCACAGAGTAAAATATGGAAACCACAGATAATCACTGAAGAGAGGCACAATAAGGGCGTATGTCATGCTTGGTCTACACTGGCGTCAAACAGTACGACGCGTGGATCTAACCGAATAACCTTACAAGATTTTAATAATAAATTAATTAAGTACTATAATATTAAATAATCTTAACTCTCAGTTGCTATGCTACATACAAAACCGGTATTATCAAAAAACCTTGTAGTCAAAATCAAGTTTTGTTTACAAACTAGTTTTTAGTATTGCAGGTTTGTTCATTAGCATGGCGAGTGAAGATTATGCCTTCTAGATTTCATACGATTGTTAAACGTTCAATTAGCGATGTTTGAGGTTAGGAGGCGGTAGCTGATGTATGAAACATACATAATTATGTATTTCAGCCCGATGCCCTAATTGCAGGAGGTACTCGCAATCAGCATGTACTCTCAGTTCCAACCTCGTATAATTGATCACGGGAGAAATAAATACTGATGGATGCGGATCTGAATTCTGACGTGTTTAGAGTTCAGACTAGCATGTTAGGGATTAGAACGCGAGCCAAAGTATTTAATTTCGAAATACCAAACTATTTTTTAATGATTTTGACTGTTAAGCGTACCTAATCTACAAAAAGCCCTTTAGCCTCACTCAACCTATCTGCTCTTCACTGTTTTAAATTATCCCAAACGATAGCTGTTAAAGGTTAATTGATCTAAATTATAAAAATTGGCGTGGGAAGTTGGGGCAAACGCCTGGTAATGCAATCGACACTGAATTTCTAAAGGACAAAAGAATCGATTATTATCGTAACACTGACTATCGATTTAGTGTATGATTTTGATGGGACAGATGTCCATTCACAGGTGAGACCTTGATGCGTATGTGGTACCTACTCGTGTGAATATTTCAATTATTTTTCATTCATATCGTGATGTTCATCGATAAGTTGAGTGTTAGTGCTGGTTTGTGTTCCTGTTTTCTACATTTGTATTATCTATGGAAATATACAACTTACCGAGTAGGGGATAATCTTTGAAGGGCTCATTTTTTATAACTTCAATTCCTTCACCGCCGCCAGTTTCGTTTTTGGATACTTCTGCGACGCAGTAGAGCTGGCCCACTTGATACTGCAGACAAATAATCATTTAAAACGAGTCTTAACACATGGTAACAAAGATAAGAATGGATAGTTATGAATAATTGATAAATATCCTTAATTATTAAAGAAAATTGCATCTCACAGATTTCTCTGTGACAGAGATTTCGACTAAGTAATACAACGAATGCAATAGCTATAGTTTATTTTTTTATAAACCTGGCTTTTGAATCAATCTTTCATAAATAAAACTAAATCCGTCTACAGTTAACGTTGAAAAAGACCTAACAACGTTGTAACTTGATAAATAGCTTGAATAGGGCATACTTTAGCAATATCGCGTGTATTATAATTATAACAAGAGAGTAAACAATAACTCATTTAATACTATAATTAGACCTACATACTTTATAACAATCTATTAACAATACTTCATCATTGTCAAGACTTTCTTATGAAAGAAAATGTTAAGTAACACTATTAATATTGCGGTACAGATGTATGTTCTTGGTACAAGAAATATAATAAAAATATATTTGCGAGGATAGATAGATGTACGTTTTCACCTAATAAAAATGCTGAAATGTTTAAATGAATCTGAATGCAGGGTTAGAAATTCATTATTCACTATAGAGTTAATAGAATTTGTGCACGCTTCCACATTGCCGTAAAAAAATTAAGCGACTATTAAGTTACTGACAGAAGCTAATGTCTTCCAATTCAAAGTTTTTAGAAAAGATTTTCGCAGCCCAGGGATTGCATAAACCATCAAATATAAAAAAAACACTAATGAAATTAATTGATACATAAATTATACTTTAATTACTACCATATGTCATTTCAGAATAACATTTAGTCCAGATTCCAGATCGAATTTCGTTAAAAACAATTCAAAATTACTACAGAAAATACAGTTAAGATCTTAATGTCTTACCTAGAAATGGAAACCTGAATTCACAATATCTATATTTTAAAAATCAATTAATCTATTTGGCTATCTTTGGAACCGTAAATCTACGGTAAGCTATGAAGCTATGAGAAACGTAAGATATCAGAAGATCTATATCGCTATTCGCTATACATTTAACTTTGTGACTGTTACTTGGAGTGCTGCCAGAGGGCTTCCTCAGAGGAACCAGTCTTGGCAGTATCAATGAATGATAAGGCAAGTTCCTTATCCTACTTTTGTAAGCACACGTTGTAGGTACCGTGGACATTAATGACTTGGCACTGTTATAGAAGAATATAGGTTACTTCAAGTATTTGTTCTTTTACTTTATTACCCCTGAATAATGGATAGGTTAAATTAAATGTCTTTTCAGATGATCTGCGTTAGTATTTCCATTTTTATTTAGCGTGACGATCCTGTTGCTATGCAAAGCAAAATCGTAACCTTAAATAAAATATGTATGTACCAATAGTGTTTAGAACGCTTACGAATGAAATAAATAGCAAATAATTTATTTTCAATGATTTTAAAATGTATTAAACAAGTCACATTATCGCCAAGTACGACTTTCTGTACTAACTCTCTAGGTCTAGAGTTTGTAGATGATTTATCGATATATTGTTTTCGCATCACTATTTGAAGTTAAACCGAGAAAATGAGATTATGAGCTCACAAATTAATTTGGATTCATATGGGATTGTAGTTTGGTAGTGATTACTAATTTTATTTCTGTTTGTTTAAAAAGACATGAAATCTCTCGATTCTCAGTTGCTATGTCGAATGGCAAAAAATACCTAACAAAAGACATTGGACAATCACTCTTATAACAATCATACTAAGGTGACATTTCCCATAAAACTTAAGATGTATCATGCAATGTTTGTTACTTTATTACCCAGGTGTATCTATTTTTTCCGTGTACAATGTCAAAGAGACGTAAGTCTAAGTAGTTATTATAAATGCTACCATAAATTAATATTAGCAAGGACGTTTTTTAAGTGATGAATCGAGATTTTTTTCTAGTTTTTAAAACCTTGCGGCAAGGTTAATGATTACATACGATAAATACATACATACGGACATATTATTTAAATGATGTTTAGTATTTATGTAAAAATGAGTATTTTGATACTAATTAATGAGTGTTAATAGACGACTTTAGTGGCAATAGACATTTTCTTCTCATTGACTGTTAAAAATGTAAAAATATTGGTATGCCTATCTTCAGAGGGCTAACAAGGCGAAATTACCAACTGATGTTATCAAATTCTTACAAGTAATTCCCAGGGAGTACAAGGAAATGTTGATAACATATCATTTGGAATGTATTACTATCATTGATAAAGTTACCGAGTGCGGTAAACTATATCTACCTACCAGACTGAACCATGATAAAGTAAATGCTATCATACATACATACATATAAACTCACGTCTTCGTCCCATGGGGGTATGAGAAACTACTGATTTATAGAGGATATTTAACCTACAACAGTCTACGAATCCTTTCTTCACCACAGTTACCTGGTTTAAGAAAAGTCTATCTAAGAGTATTGAAGAGTACTCCTAGTCCGCACCTGACCTTGTTGACCTAGATCTGATTATATCAACAGTCTATGATAATCTATTGCTGAATTATGGGCCTTCAACATAAAGTTGGCATAACCTCGATCTTCGTCACTAACAACTGGGAAAATATCTAGTTTTTATTATGCTGAAGAAATGCAGCATCCGGCACCCTCCCGTCCGCAGATAAATGCTCGCAAAGCAGAGATGCGACACATAACACACGATACGCAACAAACCACTTGAACCATTTTTTTTAAGGGGGGAAAATCATCGAATGACTGCACCCGTCTGGGTGAGGCGGGAGGGAGTGTCTTACTGACTAAAAACCACCCCGTTCCTTCTCCTACACGTCGAGCCGGAGCCCCGGTTACCCGTTAGGTTCTCCGCGACTCCGAACCGCCACTCGAACCATACACAGTTACTGTTGTTAGTGAATCTCCGTGTTTAGTATGCTTGTTGGAGAACGCTCAAATGTTCTCTTAACATAACATAACATCACGCCTTTTATCCCCGAAGGGGTCGGCAGAAATAACACCCACTATTCACTATTTATGTTATGAGTCCCATGTAATAGGGGATGAGCTTATTGCCATATACCGGGCACATTTCAAGACTCCGTGCCACTACTGAGTTTTTTTTAAAAAACCCAGTAATACTTGGCCTGACCCGGGATCGAACCCGAGACCCCTGGCCCTATATTCTCTTAAATGGTCAGTAATACGACAAGAGTAGGGGTATAAAGTGTATACGACTCTACCCTCAAAACGTTATCAATAACGCCTCTTTTTACATGTTCCACATTCGCGTCAAACGTAAATTCTATTACTACGTAAAACTAGCGTACCGCGACTTGGCCCGCGTCCCGAGGTCAAAACGACCCCTACGTATTAACTGGGTCAGGGTCTGTATGTACGCCAAATTCCATTTATCTCCCGAAAGGGGTGGGTAGAAGACAACCTAGTCTATTTTTTGCTAGTAATGTTATTGGTAAAACGGTATTTATTTTGGTAATGGATAGTCCATGTATCGAGGAAGATAGGCTATAAAATATTACGCTATGATCAAAAAGAGCCGAACTGGACGAATCCGCACGGGAGTAGCTATATTAAATATAGCAAGAAATAATAGAATGTCGATCTGTGAGTCATTTGATAAATATCTAGAAAATCTAAGCAGTTCTTTGTCTAAATACAGTACATATTAAAAATGTTATAAATAACTACTATTATATTAAATTGAAACTTACGTGAGCCATACTAAAAAAATTAATATGTTTTTCGGCTTACTCACGTAATTATTCGACGAGGAACTCGACTAGTTCCAAGCCATGCAAGAGGCTTGTATTCATGAGCAGCATTCTGGGACCAGCGACGCGGCAACTGTCGCGCTACTACTCTGAATATGAGCCTCTAGCATAACTATAATCAATATCTATAATATCTTTGCAACATTATGAAGAAAGGTGCACATAGCACAAAATTTTGGCCAGTTATGGTACTTAAATATTGTGGCAGTACATATAATATTAATTATGAACATTCCCATTATATAAATTAGGTAGTAAGGAAGGAAAAAACGGCTGTATTTCCCCTAATAAAGCCCACCTGTTGATAAAATATTGTTTTGTAATTTACATATATACTTTATGCATATTTAGTAATATACAACGGTGTTTGCTTGCCCCTTGTTACTTAGTTAATTTAAACTTAAGAAAATACTATGTTTTCCTCTTGACTCCCAGAGGGATAAGCATTTGGGCTGCAGTAATTGGGCCTCCGGTACCCTCACTCACGCAAGGAAACAACGGAAGCGTTGTTTTACGTCGGTTTTCTGTGAGGCCGTGGTATCAGTTCGGTCGAGCCGGCCCATTCGTGCCAAAGCATGGCTCTCTCACACTTAAATATTGAATTTTCGAAGGAATTAAAAAGCCTTAGTATATATCCAACCTGGGAATCCAAGACACCTTGCTTGGCAGACAAAATGACGAAATATGATGTACAAAACTGTTCCAAAACCATTTTTTTTTTGTTTTCCTTACAAGTTACTATCATTTATTATTATCAAAAGTTAACTGTATCAGTATTTTTTACACCTGTACAAAATCATTTGTGTACACTGTGTATGTGTGTGTCAAGATAAGGTATGGGTGCACCAGTTACTATGACTTAGGGAGTCGGTTATACATAGATAAAGTAAAATTCACTTGTTAAAACCTTAGCTGTATTAAAAAAAAAACAATAAAAATACTCGCGTCCCGCCTCCTCTTTAGCTAGCATAACTGCTTCGCAAAAGGAGAAGACGGCATCCCAGTCCCCCTCGGTCCACATCATGACCTGCACTAGGCCCGGACGCGAGAGGTCGCCATCCAACCTTAGCTGTATAAGAGTTTAATTCGCTGGGTTCAATGTCTTGGCAATGGGTTACCAATGACACAAAATTGGTTGCTGAGTCGGAAACAACATGATCTATTTTTAACTGTATTGCAACATTATAAGCTTGAAAATCAATAAACTTATGTAGGACTATTAATTGAATTTTGTAATAAAAAACATTGGATCTCTGATGGGGGCTTTGAGATCACAGATTTAAAACACATAATTATTTATTTTTACTGTTTTCAACCTCTTTAACCGACTTCAAAAAGAGAATATTCTCGGTTTAACCTGTATGGATGTTTGTGCACAATTATCTCGTGATAGGCCGAACTGACTTTGATGCGGTTTTCAGAAAACTGTTTATTACACTTAGGAGAAGGTTTTAGTATATTAATTAACCGACTTCTAAAGTAGAGCGAGTTGAAGTCACTTTTTTATTGACATAATTTTACACTATTATCCATAATATTCCTTTCGTAATAGTGTCTATTTACGTGACTTTTCCTGAATGCTCAGGAAAATTTAAAATATTATATTACACTGTAACATATATTTTTCATAGCAACAATATTTTTCTTCCTCATGTAAATAGATTATGGATAAAATCAGCTCATACAGGCAGAAAGTACAACAAGAAATTACACTTTAAATTGATTTATAATGGATTTCTACTCATATCATGATTATTTTACCCACACACAGATAAGTAACATTTAATCTTGATAAGAGAACAATGACTAATATATTAAAATATTAAGTGATTATATCATTGACAGGTTTAGCATACACAATATATATTAAAAAAAAAAAATTAAATATTTAAAGAAATTTCGAGGACAATTTTTTAATTCAACCTTAAAATATCTGAACTGTACTTGGCTGATTGGATTAAAACCTTTGCCCAAAAAATATAAAAACGGGTACCTATTAAAAAACAAATAAAAACAGATGATAAGTTTAACATAACTAAAACTATCAAGTATAGCTGCCCTATTGTTACATTTTCATATGTTCTTTCAGTAATTACTAGTGCCACCCACTTAATAGTTTTGCAAAATTGAAAGACTACAATTTGACCTATTTTCTACCTTTGTTTTAATAAGATGTTACTGTCAAAAACTGAGTGAGATATGTATAAACTAACTTCTAGTCATTGATGTATTATTTATTAGAAATCTGTTTAAATAGATAATGAGAATTATTATATCAGTGATTAGTAAATTAAAATTTCATTCTGAATTACAATTTCAAAAATGTATTATTGTTACAAGTTCTGATCTTAATCTAGACTAAAATTTTGCAAGTTTGTTGCCACATATGACATTTGATACAGAGCAAGTTGCGAATTTTTCGATTACAAAAGCCAGGCTTACTGTCCTTGAGACTAACGTAACTTAAAATTACAGACTCACCTCCTCGACTGTTAGTGGGAGTGTCACACGGCTGCAAACAAAGAGAATTGCGATTTAATTTTACTTTTTAATCTCCAAATATGCCACTAACATCTGTTTAATAAATCCGCGGAAATTCACTGCCTCCGCGGACAAACCTTGACCTGAACATCTGTCACTGTCACTGCCTTTTTATTATGTCGACATTAATTCAACCAATTCAATTAAATGTTACAATTAAAATTTCACTTTACGTACAGCTTCTCCTGATAAGATGGAACAACTATGTGGACCGTGGCAAATTTTCAAGTAGATTGCCCAAAAATCGATTTGTATTCGCAAACTTGTATAACCTTAACATAATATACTCACTATTCCTTGATAATCATGTTGTATATTTATTTTATAACACTTTAAATGCACATCAGACAGTTCACTACCACCTTAAAAGAAGACTTATCACAGAACGAGACTTGAGCGATGGCCCGATTATTGGTAGATTATTATAATTTTAATCTATGACCAACCAATGAAAATGACAAGGCGCATGCTTCGTTATGACGCAACGGATATTACGTCAACGATTGCAAAGTCATTCCTTTCCATGTATGTAATTTTTGCAGCAGTTGGCCTCTTTTTAAAAGAAATTCCATTGTTAAATATTTTATACTATAAAAATTTTTACTCTTTAAATCCTTTGAATAGTTTTATCAACGGCGTTCATCACAGAGAAACTATACACCAACGAAATTTCAATATAGGCTTTCACTTAACGTGAAAAGAATCGTAGTTTTCCTGAAATTCGGCCGGAACTGGGTATGTTTTATTTCACGCAGTATTCTTACCACGCAAGCAGTAAAGAGATATTTTCGTCAAATTGACACATTAATTTTTTCAGGTTTACAAAAAAACTAAAAGTTCACAAACTAAAAATATTCATAATATTATTGAAAAAAACGTAATAATATGTTCAGTTTTCCTATTAGATAAAACGCGGTAAATATGAAGTTTCATACGTTCGGATTCAATGCACATTGAAAATGTTGAACCTTATTTTGTAAATATTTTTACGTAACTTTTTCACATATACCTAGTACTGTAAATAAACGTTGTATAAACACTTCGAAATAATAATTTGCATTATGCTTTTATTTGTTAATTGCAAAAGGTAAAATTTATCAAAAGCAAAACTGTTGTTTTCATTTGTTGTGGTATCTGATCTCCGCCGTCATAGTTTCAGGTTGACGTGAAAGACAAACATTAGCGAATGAATTTTTCATTCAGTAATAAATAGCAAAATGCTATAAAAATGCTTTGATACACATTTCATTACGTATAATTTGTAACTTTCGTGCCTATATTTTTGAGATTACTTACTGATCTGCGAGCGAGTGTATTTTCCAGTTCAAAATGAGTTTAGTGGGGAAAAAGTGTGAATCAATATCGATGTTGGAAACCAATAAAGACGACGTAATAGTCAGTGAAATAACTCCTGAGGATGTTCTGAGACTAGACAGGATTACGGATACTTATATGTGTAGTCCAGAAGCTAATGTATACGATATAGATTTTACGAGATTCAAGATACGTGATTTGGAGAGCGGAACTGTGTTGTTTGAGATCGCCAAGCCTCCGACGGATTTCGGAGTGGATAGTGAGGGCACTGAGGATGCCCCCGAAGAGCCCCTGGACCCTAACGCGGGAAGATTCGTCCGCTACCAATTCACGCCTCAATTTTTGAAACTTAAGACTGTAGGAGCTACGTAAGTACTTACTATAGCTGAAAAATTAGAATAATTGATTAGGTTTGTATGTTTTAATATTACTGAATGTTGAAAGTTGTGACTCATCAATTCTCAGCTCTACTGCTTTTATAATAGGGTATCTTCTTGTATCTTTACTAAATATGCTCAGTGGATATCCTTAGGGATTACAAAAAATCCATATTAAATAATAATTATGTATCTTCTTACTGTAGAGGTTTCGTAAAAGACATAAACTTACTACCATTTTAGTCTGGGCAAAGTTGTTGATAAAACCCGGTATATCTATAGATTTTAAATTTGTAAATTATTTTAACTCTTTGAGTACCGTCATTATAGAGACACAATTAAAGAACACTAGGTTGCGGTCACCGGTAACCGCTCGGTGTTTGACAGTTTAATATAGTTCAGGCATAAACAACAACATCAATACCCTATAAGTGGCCACTTCTGATCAGCCTCTTCTCACATGGTTCAAACTTATAATTACAAATTATAAGTCCATATTTCCTAACAATGATTTTCTTCACCATTTTTCAGTGGTGTCTAATTCCGTCATAATGTTGTGTAAATATTAATAAATATAACTATTTATTTACAGTGTGGAGTTTACAGTTGGAGCTCGTCCTGTGAACCATTTCAGGATGATAGAGAAACACTTTTTCAGAGACACCCTACTGAAGACATTTGATTTTGAATTTGGTTTCTGTATACCATTCTCTCGAAACACATGTGAACACATATATGAGTTCCCTACACTGCCTCCTGATCTAGGTAAAATGTTTATTCATATTTTCTAAATAAAAATTTATTTAAAGTTTAGTTAAGTACAGATTATTTTTTATTACAGTCTTTCCATAAGTTGCAACTGCTAAAGACATAATACATAGGTATTATGAATAGTTGTGTAAGCTCTAGATTTAAAATTATGTATATCTGTAAATTACAATACCACAAAACTCCATAATTACTTAAAATCATTTCTATATAATGTTTTATTTTAATGTTTCAGTTGACGAAATGATTGCTGCACCTTTTGAGACCTGTTCCGACAGTTTTTACTTCGTAGACAACCGTCTAGTGATGCATAACAAAGCGGATTATGCTTACAACGGAGGCATCAACAACTAATCACATTTACACCCAATTTGGCACCATGCATTGTTTTCGTGTTTCAAATTTAAATTTTATAACACTGTTTGACACAAGAAAATGTTTTTTCAAAGATTTTAGTAGATATGTGTTTTTAAAAGTCTGTTGTTGATAGAATTTGTAACTAGAGGTGGGACAGTGTGTTGTACACAACAACTATTGATCTCGTAGAATTATTTATCTGTGTGGAATGAAACTTAATGTTAGAATACACACTGTCAATGTGTTGGCAAGGTTCGGAGTGCAAAGATTAAGTAGTAAATGGAAGTTACATCACATATTGTGTGGCAACTGGAGGGCTGATTGCTGAAGACGGATTAAAGGAAATTGTGCTATTTTTCTTTTTTGCAAGTGAAGAGTTGGCTGATAGTCTATTGGCAATTACCAAAGAAACATTTGAAACCACAAAGTATGGTATGCATAGCCCAGAATCAAGTATCAAGGGCGACAGGTTATTGAGGGGCGCCGTGACGCCGTAAGACGCGTGTGCCCAAAGAGGCGCCAAAAAAATTACAGGTACCTACGAGGTGCTTGGCTAGGGCGCTCTCTAGGATTAATCCAGCTCTAACATTGCCATACAATGAGGCTGTCTAAGCAAATATTTCTCTAGTCACCATCAGCCCTCCATGTGTTCACTAATCTGTGTGTTTAGAAAATGAATGTTGCCCATCACTCGTTAATTGAATAATATTTGTGATCTTATTGATTGTGATTTTTACACCTACTTTATAAATGTAATTGACATAAATTTAATGTGTACTGAATTTTAAAATAAGGGTGTGTTTTGTTTAATTAATTATTTCGAAGGTGCAACATCTTGTCGAAGGCAAGTTTGAACATTATTTTGATCTCGTTATTTAAATATTTTTAGGTTATAGTTTTAATATTGTTTTTAGTAGTAATGAACTTGTTTTCAGAAGTTTCATACCGATATTTGTCTAAGCAGGGCCTCTAGCCAAAAGCCACTTTAGCGCTTGTCTACAGTGAGAGTAGAAATCAAAATGTATGGGGATGACACTGACAAGTGTCAAAATTTACGTCAATTCCATATAATTTGGTTTTCTATTCTACATGTAGACAAGCGCTAAATGGCATTTGGCTAGCACTGCAGGTAGTTATGGGATTTATGACAAATGGTGAACAGGGAATGTACAGTGAAAGAATATGTTTTCGGACCAACGAGAAGTTAAAGATGTTTGCAATTCGATAATGGTCATATGGGCTTGCATCACGTATTACAGGGATCTCCGACTACTTTCGAGCCCGACCGGAGCCCAAAACTGTGACTATGACATGTCATGTCAATGTCAAACAAGAGTTTAATATGTTTTACAATAGTTATTGTACAAATTTATGAAATTGGTTAAAAGTATACGTTTTATCGAATATTGAGTGATCTTGACATTGTTTTTAACATTCCAAATTTAAAATATTGACTTTATTATTTGTATGTGGTAATACTTAGATAATTTTATTTGCTAGTTATGTTACCTTTTAATTATTTGATTACTTAGTTTTTTTAAATATTTTTAGACATAGTTTGTTAAATATTTTAACTTTATTGACAAAGATTTTAAGCTGTGTTTGGAGTAAAGTAAATTGAAATTTATGGTGAGGTCTTAAAGATTAGTATTGTGTGAAATTATATTCAAGGGGGTTAATGAATGATTTTAACGGTTTAAGAAGAAAATGGCACTTTAAATTTCAATGTAAGATTATAAGTTTAATATTGATATAATATTACGAATTTCAATAACTAATTTAAAAATGTAATTTAACACGTTAACCGCCGCATAGGTCACCTGGGACCTACGTTAGCTCGGAGGATTAGCTTTCAGCAGTTTTCTGTCCGCAGTCAAAGGCTTCTGTTTTGGATATTACGAAAGTACTTATTTCCGTAAGTATCCACAAACCAATTTTTTTTTAATTTGTGACTCTTATGTCGGAATACTCCAACGCTACTCATTTTTAAGTCGCGCATAAGTATAGTTCTGTCTCCACTAATTTGTTCCATTAACTGTAAAATGACAGAGATGGCACGATATTTAAGCACGACTTAAAATTGAGTAACGTTTCAGTTCTCCGGCATTAACTGTTTGATTATAAGGTGACTAGCTTCTGCCCGCGACTTCGTACGCGTAATTCCATTTTCTCCCGTCCCCGTTCGTGATTTCCGGTAAAAAGTAAAAAAAAAATTGGTTAAAAAGTATCCTATGTCGGTCTCCTGGCTCTAAGCTACCTCCCTACCAATTTTCAGCCAAATCTATTCTGCCATTCTTGAGTTATAAATGGTGTAACTAATACGACTTTCTTTTAATAGATTTGCAAAAAAAGTTGTCTTTAGTCACTTTTAAACTGAATATGTTTTAATTATTAAAAAAAGTGATTAAGTACCATAGACACTTCAGACAGATATTTTCATTTTCTTTTTTCTTACGTTTTTATTCAATGGGTAGTATTTAAACGAATATCAAAAAATATTCTTTTTCTTTGCAATAAGATTCCGAATTCCCATCAAAATTACTGATTGCACAGCAAAATATTTAACTCAAAATATTACTAAACACACTACAATTTGTTTTCGCAGCGTACAACGATTTTGCCTAAAGCAAAAGCTTTCATTAATGCACAGCTAATAATCTTAATGCACATTATATAGGTAAACTCTTTTTCTTTTAAATATAGCTTCTATTTTTAAATTATTTACAACAGTTTTTCTAAATAAAGCAGCATTTTAAATTCACTTATTTTATTTAAACTAATATTTTTAATATAAACGGCTAAATGGTATGAAAAGATTTGAAAAGCAGTTAGTGATATAACGCTCGGCGGCCGCTACCGCGGCCGCGCCTACTCGCGCCTTGTGAGGGTCGCAGTTCTAACCTAACCTAACCAAATGTTTCGGGGTGCCCAAAATTGCTGTGCAGTCAGTATTTATGCTATGTATGTAGTATTTTTGTACAAAAACAAATATAACCGTATTGCATTATAAGGAAAAAAGGATTGTCGTATTGATGTATAATTTCGAATTATCTGCAGTTTGAGTTCTGTAGAACATTTCATTTGTTTGTAATGAAGTAAGTTATTTGATGTAAAAAAGAATATAAATGATGAGTATGTATTGACAGGTGATTATTAATTTGATATGCAATTTATAATATCCCTTATTCACTATAGGGATGTCAAAATTTATTTATATTATTTTGTGACTAGTACCGTTGAGCCCTAACTGAGTAGTTTTCGTAATAGTGAGATGCATTGAGTGATTTTAAATACTTACATTTCTTCGCGTTGTATCAATAATAATTAATCAGTATAGACAAGGTAGAGAATTATAGAACTACATCTTTTAGTGAACAAATTACTTTTAACGTTTCAATCAAATTTGAACTCTGTTCAATGAGGCATAGAGTTGTGTAAGTATATAAAGATTATTTACTGTATTTAGTAATTTGACAATTGAGCTAATACAGTCTTTAATTCTAAGTCATAAGGATGAATTTTCAACTTTAGTCGACTTGTAGAGTCTACAATTCCAATACAATGTAGACGCAAAGGCTCACAAGCGCCACCTACTGGGCGCAAAATCTTCAAATGTCAAGTTAACTAAATACAGTATTAATAATTTATCTTTAGGAATCTTAAAATGGCGGCAAATGAATTTACTATCCAATGTTCAGCTTTAAATTTACGAAAGAAATGAAGAAATCAGAAATGTTTCCATTATTATGCCGTCCATGTTTTATTTCGACAAGTGACCTTTTTGTATATTTAATGGTAAATAATAATACGAATAAATGTGTTCAGTGTATCGATTTCTTTTATATGCACTTGTTTTGTGTCTATGTATAGTTGTGATGCCGTGTTGCACTGACGCTTTTAACCTATTTACACAAAGGTAAAATTCCTTTAATCGATTGTCAACCTTAACACTTTAATGTAAAGATGAAAATGTATCAAATAATTTTTACTTTAAGGGTCAGTTTTATTGCTATACTTAACAATAGAACCGAAACTTTGTAGCTTATAACCAGTTTTTATTGATCGAAAATATCGAGTTTTTGACAATATAAACTGAACTTTATTTATTACTGTTTAAAGTCGATAACAGAAGACTATAATTTATTCATTTCGGTTGTCTATATTCGTGTGGGGCCTAATTTTTTTTTTACTTAACGTCATTATTTTTACTGATGAACCTTTTTGCTGAAAGGCAATTTTATACGGAGCTCTCATTTGCACGTAAGGTAATGGAACGTAGTTTTTGATGAAACCCTCTGTATTTGTCGACTTAGAGCGATACTAACAAGAAATTAGAGACATAGGTAAATACTTACCTAGACTAGACTACACTATACTTACCTACTACTTTAAATTTTATTATACGAATGTCGTGTGAGGTGATTTTTCACATGCGCAACTCACGTATGCATGTATAATGTGGCCAATATTTACTATCCTAATAATTACTTCTCCGGATATTGTGGTCGATAAAAAAAAACATGGTAGTAGAAATTCTATAGTACCTACATGAGGCTTTAGTCGCTCTACGTCGATCTAACTTTAATTTACTAAATAGTATTCTGTTAACTACATATTTATTATTAGATGTGATGGTTAATAGCTGAATAATTGTGTGTTAATAAAATTCAATGTCTTTGTGTAAAAGCGGGCACAGCCGGCCATTTTATTTTGTTGATTTTTATTCTATGGGCAGAATTATTGGCGCGAACACCATTTAAAAAAATCTTAATGACTGTACACGGAATATTATACTTTTAAAAATTAATAATTGGTATGTGCATACAATAATAATGTTAAGTATTTTATTTAGTTTTAAATGTTGCAATATTTCGGTGCCCACATTATACTGACTGTGCTCGCACTTACTCTATTCACTGTCACAGATCACTAAACACTAGTTTTGTCGATGAAAATAAACTTGATATAAAATATTCTCTTTTGTTTCGATTTTTACACCATATTTACTTCACCACATTATTTACTCCATAGGCAGAATATTTTGAAAATATTGCAGCGTCAATGAAACCAATCATTTTAGATAATACCTAGTCGTTTTTATTGAAAAAAAAAACTTTACACACACTGGTAGGTACATAATTATAAGAATGAAAACAATCGTAATAAAAGGAAAAAAAGGTTTAACTTAATAACTATTACACGGCGTAATTTTAAACCAACTGGCGAATGGAACTGGCTATAAAATTACTCCGTTACACTTTCGACTCTCCTCTCAACATTATAAAATTAAAATGTATTGAAAGTCAACAATAATAATATAAACTATAGCCCTTAAATTACAATATGATTATATCTAAGTACATATTACTTGTGCTAACTTAACACAAGAACATCAAAGAGAGTCTGAATCTAGGTGGTCCTAGTAAGACCTTGGTTAGTCCTTTGTATTTATATATCGTATTTTCTTTACTCGTGTATAGGTACAGGTACATACATTTGGTCATTATACTCATTATGCCTAAGAACTTATCAGTTAAACAATAATTTAGTTATGTTTATTTGGCCTTTGAGTTGTGTTTCTCGCACTTTGTGCTCTACCTCTACCCCTGCCCCTGCCCCTACCGCGATAGTTATAATAGTTCTTACCAGTATCATTTCCATTCATGTTTTCTCGAATTTCGTTAATGTTGTTGTCATTGTGCACGCTTAGATTTTCTTCAGGCTGATCATCCTGATTATTATCTTCGTTGTTTTTATTCGAAATTTTTTGGATGGAGAATTTGAATGCCATGCCCTCTCTATCGACGAAGGTTGCAGCATAAAATATCGGCAGCACTGCGCACTTCCCGGATTTAAACACTTCTTCCTTTGAAGAGACACAAGTATTCGAGTACATATATTTCCTACGAGGTTCAGACTTTTTGTAGACGTGGATTTCATAAGTCCATTTCTTTGCAGCAGTATT